GACGCATTTTATTCCCTTGCGAGCACAGTTTGCGCATTTAACACTTTTTGAAGAGGATATGGCGATACAGGTCAGTCCACGGATCAAGTAATATTCATAACTGAGAATTGCGATGCTTCCCGACTCTTCAATTTCGGAAGCAAGACGTTTGCGGCGAAGGGAGGAGACCGAAGACATTTTTGCCTCTCGATCAGCGGCCACTAAACTCCTTAAGTATTAGAAGCTTGGGACAAGCTTACTAAGGAGGGGAATGGTGTTACGAAGTAACACGTGATTTGTCATGTGAGTGATCATTTTGATCATTTTTGAGAAAATGATCAAAATGAGCGCATTAACCAATGACTGACGACTAGGGTATCGATGATTGGTCAGAGCGATCATTCTGATCATTTCGCCAAGAATGATCAGAATAAGTAAGGCAATAAGGATATCAGGAAAGCTGTCTATATAAACGTCCTGTCTCTACTGGTGTTGTGTCTCTTCGTAATTCAACTGTCTAGCATAGCTAGTAGTTAGTTTGAATACCTTCTCATACTTCTGAAGCTCATACCATTCTAAGTCACAAACATAACTATCTTATTATATTCCTTCCTTAATAAGCTCTAGTTATACATTGTCCCCTTGCTCTAGGAAGCTAACCCCTTCCGAAGTGGCTTACATTGGTGAAGCCAGTCGGTATAGGGAGAGTATTCCTAACAACGTCTCTCACAGTGCTGTTGCCTCAGATAAATAGAGTCTTAACTTGCTTGCTGTGTATATCTGATTATTCAGCCATATAGATTAGGAATAAATAGCCTGCTAGATACCTAGCGATACCTCTGGTTCAGTCTCCTTCTTATTTGAGGTAAACCGGGCTTATAACTGTTGCATATGAGTGCCTAGCTAAGCTAAGCCATGCAAAGGAATCGCTGTTATACAGTGTATAAGAAGGAAAAAGGAAGAGATTATTGTGTGAAATATTGCATTGATTGCATCATGGATTGGATTATTAGTTGTTAGGTTTCAATCCTGAAGCAACTTATAGATAAGCCCCAGAATATCTGCTGAGTCAGGCTCACGTGACTTGCGACATTAGGATTGTCGAGTGGGTAACAAGCTACCCTCATGGTACTGAATGGACCCCCCTCTCTGACCAAGTCAACAGCGTGGGAATTTGTCGAACGGAAGTGTAAGACGAGGCGAAGGCAGCTTGTGCCAACGCATAGGAACTCCCAGAAAGGATCCATCTATACTGTGACTTGTCATCCATATGACTCGGCGTTGTGCCATGCATTTAAGCTTATTGCCATCACTTCATTGGTCGCTGCATTCATGCACAATTACCGTCAAGTCCACGGACAGTCATAACTTAGCTAACCGGTGAAGATGGTTCGCTGCAAACGCTGAGCGAGAAGCACGCCAGGGATGCGCTGTTCACCTTCGCCTCAAAGGCCAAAATATGAAGTGAGATCCGGAACTTGATTTATTTTTTTTGTCTTTGCATCATTCTTCGCTTCATTTCGCGCAAAGCTCAACGCTGGTTCTGCAGAACGCCATCCTATCTCACTGAGCGCGTCTCTCACTTACCCACACTCTCTCGGTGGGATCAGTATATTGTTCCTGAAATTCATGTGCGGACTTCTTTGGATACCTTGTTGGGACTTGGGTCTTAACTCAGTGCTGATTCCTGCCCAGGCACGTGCTTATCGACATCGATAGCTCAGATAGCACAAGCTAAAAAGCAACTCCACAGTGTGAATGAACGCATTTTGAATTTCGGCATGTACGGCATTCCACCGTACTTGGGTCCCATGTTGGGTATGGCCCTCACAAATCTTGCGGCAACAGGCTCGGGCAACTGGACGGAGAGCGTTCAAGCTTTGAGCAAAAAGGTGCCAGGCTTTAGCGATGCCCAAACTTTCATATTTGACCGGACCGGGCTTGACATCATATACATACTTGTCTGTTTCTTCCTCTTCGACACATGTAGACATTTACTGAACTATATCTTCACAACTATCGACGACGTTCTTGTTCGATGGCTGATGACCGATATTCACATTCCCAAGCACAATCCTCTTGTTCAAGATGTGTACGCATGGCTCGCGAAACAAAATCACGGCAGATGGAGACAGAGATCCGCTACAGTGCAAACGGTGAACGCAAGATGGGATGATCTATGGTCTGACAACAGCCATGATGACAATGAGGATGAAAACAAAGATGGCTTTAGCTTTGTTCCAACCGTGGGCCGACAATACTTTCGACCATTCGGCTGGAGGCTTTTTATATTTGATTTGCATGACAGAAGTTTCGGACCCACCGGAATGCCTCCCCCACCCATGCCACCTGGTGGCACTTATTTTAAGGAAGACATTACTATTCGATGTCTTGGCTGGAGTGACGAGCCGCTGAAGAAATTCCTCCACATGTGCAAAAGCTACTCGAGGAAAGGTGGCAAGGGGGCCACGTTGGTCTTCACTTGGGATGCAGAAGATTACGACTGGAACCAGAAGAGAATGCCGCCTCGACCGATGAGTACGATTGAGCTGGATGGCAAGATTAAAACGGAATTGCTTGCAGATGTCGCCAAATACCTCAACCCGAGAACGATCAGCCTCTATAAACAGCTTGGTATTCCATATCGACGGGGTTACCTGTTCTACGGTCTACCTGGCACGGGGAAGTCCTCTTTGTCGAAAGCTTTGGCTAGCCAGTTCGAACTCGACCTATACTGTCTCAATCTTGGCGACAGCGGAGTGAACGATACTAGTCTCCTGCGCGCCTTTGCCCGATTACCTTCCAAGTGCATACTTTTGCTAGAAGATATCGATTCTGCTGGTATTGGCCGTGAGTCTGCCACAACGAAAGAGCTAAAGAAGCGAAAGGACGACTCGGACGACTCAGATAGTTCAGTTGGCAGTTCTTACTCTGATTGGGTCAGGAGGCGAAACAGGAGATCGAGGAACAAGTCTAGTATGGTCACACTTAGCGGGCTCTTGAACGCCCTAGATGGAGCAAGCGCGGCCGAAGGACGGATTGTGATCATGACCAGCAACCACCCTGAGCTTCTGGACAGCGCATTAATCAGGCGTGGACGAGTTGACAAACGAATTCTGCTTCCACCAATGTCTCGAGAGTCGGCGCGCGGGGTTTTCAAACGGATTTTTTCTTTTGGTGATCTCTCTAAAGACGAAATTGCAAAGTATGCTGATCAGTTTGCAGCAAATATTCCGGAAGGCGTCATTGTGCCTGCAGAAGTGCAAGGATATCTTGTTGACCACCTCGAGAAGCCGGCACAGGCCATTTCTGGTATTCAACAGTGGGCTGAAGAGGTAGTCAACAATCGGGTCATGAACAAGGTCATTGCAAAAGGCCTTGAAGATTTCAATGACAAAGCAGCTACACCGAGCACTGGCATAGCCACCGAAGGATTTGATATTGTGACCTCAAGCGCGAGTGAGCTCGACGAGAACAAGACGGAGCAGGTTTTCGCAGAGATTGAATGCGGCAAGACTACCTGAGGCACTTCAAGCAAAAGTATCGGGAAAAAACAATATGGTATCGCTTCTTTTAACTCAATCCTCTCACATGCCGTAGAAATCTGAGCGTACTTCAGTTAGACTCCGCTTAGATCTATTGCAGCGGCCGCTGCTTGTTTCGCATAGAAAAAGTAACTCAGATGGCTTGCATCTACAATAAGGATTCCTGTCTCGCAGATGATATCACCATGAACGCAAAAGCGTTGCACTCGATCATCGGGTAATGCGCCAACACTTTTCTTGGTGTCTGGATCGCCAAAGAGAATTGCACCGCTCACAAGGCTGGCAATAGATGAGTCTGAAAGGGCGTTATGGACTACCTCAGCTCCTTGCGAATAACCTGAAGCGATTATTTTGGTGTCTGGGCATTGAGACCTTGCCTGTTGTATGAGCGACTTCATTGTTGGACCTCCGTCACCGCCATCGCTGAGAAGACCCTTAACAGATATCAGAGGCAGATCTCATGTGAATATGGCTTAAGGAAAGAACATACGATTACACTGGCGGGATAGTCAACACCTTGCACTAGGACACCTGTACTGCCTAGCTGCGATCGGAGTTCGCTGAAGAATGGTGGTCCGGCGAATGTTCCAACGTTGCCAAGCTCAATGGTCCCACGCGCGAATATGACAGTCATTGCCGCACAGCAATTCTCATCGATCACTCCGTTTTCCGTATCGAACCCAGGCGTCTGCAGTTTGCAAATGGCAGCCGCCCAAGCGCCGGTGGAGAGTGTTAAAAGTGAAATGAAAAACCTGCAGCGCATGATGAGTGAACATAGAAAAGAACTGGAAAACGCGTATATCAAGAAGAGGTCCAAGGCTGAGTGAGCAGCTGCTTGAATTAGGCGAGATGCAAGACAGCAAGTGTAATTTCAATCAAATACCATCGACGGGTATAGAAGTTGCGAAGATCCATTATTGCCGAATCCACAAGATGCATCACGGCAAGTGCAATATCGCAAGAACAGTTCTTCATACAAACGCAGGCCATCGCCGCTAGACAGTCTCATTGAACAGGAATAAGATTCGTGCGAGTGGTTGATATAACGGTGGGTCAATCTCGGAGCTAATGTGATGGTCTGGACGATCGGCACCAATGATGTCGCGAGGCTTCCGTAGTGTTGTGATTGAGCAGACGCTCTTATCGAAGCAGATATTAGCCCGCTCTTTCGTGCGAATCTCACGAAGACAAGCTCGTGTGTGTTGCGGTGAGGTACACTGTCGACGTGCCGTAACTGGCTTTGTGGCTGTTCGCTGGGCGCTTGCTCGAACGCGGAGGAATCCTGATTTCCAGGTTTGGGCTGCTGTGGCGTTTGCCATGGTCAGCCTTGTGAAAATCTTCATATGCTGCTTAAGCTATGTGGTGCACGCTCTGATACTTTTTACTGATTGTTAAAAAGCGTCATATCATCTAGTCTGCAAACGAACTTCGAGCGAAGCGACAAAAGGCCCAGGACTGGACGGCAGGGCTTGTGCTTCGTTTTCAGTGTTCGCACAGAAATGTATGTCGCATCAGACCCAATTGTAAGGATGCCATTTCTAAATGTCGATGGCCGTAACTGCTCCATCAAGAAGAGAACTCCATGTAACAGATGTCTCAAGAGGCTTTGTTGAGTTCTAGCCACTGTTGTCTTTGCGACGATGTCCAATGAACAAGTAGACATGAGTCTCAGACGGGCAAAATTCACCAAAAATGGTATTTCCCAGAGCTGAGGGTGAACAGTCACCTAGGTTGTGGACTGTTTACCACCGTGGCGTAAGACTTCTAAACTCTTTAGCGATGTCCTGCTAAGCTTCCGGTACTTCTGGACTTGTTAATCAGGATCGCGTTAGCTCGCATCTAATGTGGGGACCCCTTGATACCAAAATCCTCATTGTACCAGTATATCAGTTTGTACCTTTGATTTCTGACTCCGTAATGAGAATATGCTTCATGAATAATGTCGTTGTGCATCCAATAGCGATGGTAAGCAATCTGCTGCCAATACGGTGGAGTTTTGCCCTTTAGCAGTGGGCGAAATGACACGCCTTGGATATATGAAGGTATTCGGAGGTCCGCAAAGTCAAGGAACGTCGGTGCGAAATCAGCATTGCATATTATGTCATTGCAAATAGTACCGGGAGAAATCTCTCTTGGATAACGGATCAAGAATGGCATTTGGAATGACTACTCGTACATGAATTGTTTGTCGAACCAACCGTGCTCGCCCAGGAAGAATCCCTGGTCTGAGGAATATATCACAATCGTGTTTTCAGCCAGCGCTTTCTCATCGAGATATTGCAGTATGCGCCCAACGTTGTCATCAATAGACTGGATTGTTCGGAGGTATCTCTGCATGTAGCGCTGGAATTTGAAAGTGGAAAGTGCAGTCTCGCTCTCAAATCTGAATATTTCGCCAGTGTCTTTATCTATGAGTTTCAGGCGCTTGTAGTCAGTTGGAATCTTTCGCTGGGATGATCCTGATTCTTGAGCAACACGAGTTCCGACTGATTCGCCACCATCTGGCTGGACCAGTCCGAGATCTTGATACGTAAGGTCCTCAGCCACACGCATCTTTGCCACGCTGGCAGCTTTCGCTCGGTTCTTGTAGTCGTCATTGTACGTCGCCGGTACTCTGATTGGATCAGAATACAGATGCTTGTGCTTATCATCACATTCCCAAGATCTATGCGGTGCTTTGTGGTGACACATGAGAAAGAACGGGCGTCTCTTGTCTCGACGCTCTATCCAGGCAAGACTTTTGTCCGTGATAATGTCTGTGACATACCCTCTGTTCAGCTTATGACCATCAGGCTCGATGAATTCCGGATCCCAATAGTCCCCCTGGCCCGGAAGGACCGACCAGTAGTCGAATCCTGATGGCTCGTGTGCTGAACCTTCACCCAAGTGCCATTTCCCGACCATCGCTGTCTGGTATCAACCTGTGCGAAGGTGCTTTGCAACGTTTGGAATATGCTTATTTATACTGTCGTCAAGAGTCATGACACCGTTAACATGATTATGAGTTCCCGTCAGAATTGTAGCTCTTGAAGGGGTGCAGATTGAATTTGTGACATAGCAATGCTTGAACAGCATACCCTCTATCGCGAGTCGATCAATATTTGGAGTGTGATTGATTCCCGCGCCGTAACAACTGATAGCCTTGGAGGCATGGTCATCGACAAGAACGAATATAATGTTAGGCCGCGAATCCATATTCGAATATCTGCAGAGAAAATCAGTTTGGAATGAAAGGCGCTACAACGGAGGAAGCGAGATCATTTTGAAGGCTTGGGTTGAAGACTCTACGAACCGCTTGTTCGGCTTCTCCTACCCTGAATTTCACTCATATCAACGCCGCCATGCGGATGCGGCCCATCTTGTTTGAGCCAAGCCAATGAATGGAGTTAGCATCCGAGAGCTATTTACGCAAATTCATTGAGCACCTTTCCTTGAGGAGAATCGGATACAAAGCCGTCACCAAATGTGATGGCTTCGTTTACTACCGGATGTCGGTCGGAGCGCCATGGTAGGCATAGCGCCTCCATCGTTAGATCTCACTTTCAATGCTTTTCGCTCCTTGGCCAGCACAGAGTGTGCCAGCTGATGTCACCCAGCGGTGTGCTCCCCAGAATGGACCCGACCGTGTTCGTCGATCCGACCGACTTCCAACGGGGTTTCTCCAACATAACCGTCGTATGATCTGAACGGCTGGCTGGCCTTGAGTTAGTCTCCACGTTTACTTTGACGCCTCTAGGCAAATCTAGATCATGCCAAGGCAGATGCCATACCCAGCTAGGTTTCGTTCTGCATTGACAAAACATAATCATTCCTCGGGCTCTTTTGAACTGCGTACAAATTCAGCGTTGAGCCCTTCACTAGGCCCTTATTGAACCAGCCAATTCTATTGACGACTCTCTCAGCGTTGATAGATACAATCTTCTAAAGATGGGCAAGTCTTTAGGATCTTTTCGCGCGACATATCTAGCTGCTCTATGTTGTGTTGGATCGTTTCTTTTCGCATATGATGCTGGAGTAGTTGGTGGTGTTCTTACTTTACCATCCTTCGTCGGAGACTTTGGCTACACCACTGCGCATGCAACAACCGTCAGCGCGAATTTGACCAGTTTTCTCCAAGCTGGAGGTAAGTTGAACTTACATACTCACTTTATTTCTATATTTCTGCTAAGAAACGATTGAAAGCTTTCTTTGCCTGTTTCTTTGTCTGGCCATTTACAGCTCGCTTCGGTCGCCGCTGGTCAATTGTCCTCGCTTCATGCGTGTTTAACATCGGCGCTGTTCTGCAGACCATCAACTCACATTCGATTGCTTGCTTCTACGTTGCGAGGGTAGTTAGTGGTATCGGCGTAGGCATGGCAACGGTCATAATTCCCATGTATTCTGCCGAGATGGCTCCAAAGAGTATCCGCGGAATGCTTGGTGGATTGTTTCAGTTCCTTTTTACATGTGGTGTCATGACCTCTTACTGGGTTGACTATGGTGTCGCTCAACATATGAAGAAGTCTACCGCTCAGTGGCAAATCGCCATTGGCTTACAATTGATTCCTGGTTCTATTCTGGGACTCGGAATGCTGTTGACAAAGTAGAGTACACGCTGGTTCGCCAAATGTGGGCAAAAACAGAAAGCCTTGGAATCATTGATTTGGGTGCGTGGTGGCGAACATACGGCAGATGTTGAGGAAGAGTAAGTCTACTAGGTTTTTCTCGAGACATACGCTAAATTCTTGCTAATTAGGTTTTCTGAAATTATCGCCGGCATAGAAGAAGAGCTTCGGGCAACGGAAGGACTGACTTGGAAAGAGTTTTTATTACCAGCGAATCGGAAGCGAGTCATTATTACCATCTGCATACAAATTGGGGTACAGATGACTAGGAACTCATCTTTGGCCTACTGTAAGTTCCTAATGACATGAAATAAGGATTTGCTTCTCACAAAGATTGGTAGTTACTCCTCAAATTTTTAAAGCCATTGGTGCAGGCAACAATAGTCTACTTTTTAGCGGCTTCTTTGGTGTTGTCAAAGTTATTTCCTGTGGGTTTTTTGTTCTCTTTGTCGCTGATAGGGTTGGTCGACAATGGTCTTTATTTGGTGGAGCTTTCCTGATGGGATCGTATATGCTAGTAATTGCCGTTCTCACCGCCAAATATCCTCCCAAAGCAGGTCGGGGGTTTACGAGTGCCGGAGCTGCATCAGTAGCTATGGTTTATCTTGAAGCAAGTGAGTTCAGAAACATGGTTATAAAAATTGTCTGGTGATTGATAAATTATAATAGTGAGCTATAACATTTCCTGGGGCCCGGTTCCTTGGATATACATGAGCGAAATTTACCCCACTCGAATCCGAGAAGCTGGAGTTGCAATTGGCACTGCTACGCAATGGCTCTTTAATTTTGCCTTCTCTCAAGCGACCCCACATGCCGTTGCTAATCTCGGGTGGCGAATGTTCTTGATGTTTGCAATTTTCAATTGGTCTTTGTTGATTTTTGTCTGGTTTTTCATCAAAGAGGCAAGTTCTGTGCAAACAAAGCCGAACTTACATACTTACATAGATGACAAACGAAAGGCAAATCTCTTGAGGAGATGGAAGCATGTGAGTTTGCTATTGAATGCATCACAAAACGACTACTAATTTTACCAAGTGTTCGGCTCCGTTGAAACTGCGATCAATTTTGAGGAAGTTCATAGTAGAGCGAAGAGGGAGGTCATTCAAGTCGAAGCGGCAGCGGATCTGAAACAGTGAGAAGGATGGTTTACATTGTCAGTCTCGATGTATTTAACAATTTGAGGCGGTAATTGCTCACTTAACGTAATTGCTCTACTCTTTTGACAAATTTCTGCTCTGATTGGCCTCCGCAATTAATCATCAGGATTTGGTTTGTTATTTGTTTGCTGTCACCATTATAGATTTCATTTATTTCTTCAAGATCTAGAAAATTATGTTGTATCACGAGTTTGACCAAAAACGAATTTGTAAGACGCGATCATTGGTCAGCTCCATCGGCAAAGGTTATCCGTAAGGAAATGGAGGAGCTTTGGTTGGACCGTAGAACACCATGGCAAGCTAAAACCTGCAAGGACGCACTCACGTGCTTTGCACGAGATATTAAACTTATGTGATTTCTTTGTAGAAAGGCCGTTTATTCTTAGTAGCATCTTGGTTCGACGGTGATTGCCAAATTGGCGTACTTAAGATCATAGCCCACTTTGGAAGCCTCAGTACTGCACTCAGATTTTGCTATTCATTGTGTTTAGATGCAAAGTTAGAAAGAATGTAAGCTTCGCAAATTTCTTGAAACGCTTATTCTGACACCTGCTTCTGTAACACAGCTAAGTCTTCTCCAGCGTGCAATTACGTGCGCATAATAGAAAACAGCGTATTAAAGTCAAAGCGAAGATTTAAACAACAGTTCAGTAATACTTAAAAAATTACATCTAATCTGCATGAACGTTTCAGTAATTAGAATACATTTGGAAAATTTGGTTGTTACATGGAGGAAAAGAAAAGATAGCTAAAACTGAGTAAGATGTGAGAACAACATTGTCAAGGCAGAAGAGACTTGAGGATCATCGACTTCCAATGCAACCGAGACGAACTGTCAAGAACTTTGACAAATCTAGGCACAAATTAGGCTCGCTCAGATTGCAATAGTTTACTAGGGGTTACCCGGCATCAAATCTTCGAACGAGTTACTCTACCGTATTTCGCTTCAGGTTTCGATTTTCCGAAAAGTTCATTTATATACTTATGTTACTTCTACCCTAAAATACAAGGTTCAAAGAATTGCGGCTAATTCGGAGCTGTACACGTGGATCTAACGTCTGGATTACTCGGTGTCTAGTCTGACGAAATGAAAGTTCATCCGATGATTAGACGGTTACGTCATTATCTCAAGATGGTCCAAGCTCTCGTTCGGATATTTGCAGACGAAGGTCTGACGACTGCCAACCAATGAGAGCCCCACTTTCGTAAGCAACCATCAATTTCGCTGTGACATCAAACCACTTGCGGGTTTATGTATCTCTCACGGAGTGGACTATTTTACATGCAGTCACTTGGAAGAAGAGCTCTCAGGATCACATTTTCACTTTCTTCTGGCCCACGACAGCCCTACGGCTCTTTCAGACCTCTCTCTGTCACAGTTCGAACAATGGCTACCCAGTGGAAACTCAAGGACGTCAGTTTGAGTTCGCTGAAGAATGGCAGCAAGTTGGAAGCTGAGGTAGAGGGTATTTCTGATGGCAAGGTCCTCCTAGTCAAGTCGGAGGGCAAGGTCCATGCTATGAGCCATAAATGTACCCATTATGGTGCTCCTCTTGTAAAGGGCGTCTTGAGCGGGGATAGAATCACCTGCCCATGGCACGGAGGTATACATACATGCAAAATCGCGTGTTTCGCTGGGATATCTCTTGCTAACAAAAACTCAGCCTGCTTTAAAATCACAACGGGCGACATCGAAGACGCACCTGCTCTCGATCCATTAGCGAAATTTGAGATCGTTGAAAAAGATGGTGCAGTTTATATCCAAGGCGATGAGTCAGCAATCAAGGCGAACAGAAGAAAACTAAATCTTAAGTGTGCGTCAATGTCGCAGGACAAGGTCATAATTGTCGGCGGGTAGGAATTGCCGCGTGCCACTTTGCATGTAAAACGTAACTGACAGTGCGGAATAGTGGAAGCGGCGCTCTTGGGGTCACAGAAGGTCTCCGTGGTGGCGGATTCAACGGAGAGATCACCATGATCACTTCAGAAGGCTATCCACCTATTGATAGAACGAAGCTATCCAAGGCATTGTTGACCGATGTCTCGAAACTGGCATGGCGCTCGGAGGAATTCTACAAGGAGGCAGCCATAGATGTCGTTCATGATACTGTTGAATCCGTAAATTTCAGCGAGAAATGCGTGAAGACATCATCTGGAAAGACTCATCAATACACCAAGCTCGTTCTTGCTACTGGTGGGACGGCCAATTTCCTCCCGCTCCCGGGCTTGAAGGGTGACTTGAAAAATGTATTTGTGCTCAGGACGCTTCCAGATGCTCAAGAAATCATGAAGTCTGCAGGTGAGGAAGGAGGTAAGAAGATCGTGGTTATCGGATCCTCATTCATCGGCATGGAAGTCGGCAATTGTCTCGCGGGGAAAAAGCACCAAATCAGCATCGTTGGTATGGAGGAAGAACCAATGGAGCGAGTCATGGGTAAGCAGCTTGGGAAGACTTTCCGAGGGCTTCTGGAGAAGAATGGTGTTAAATTTTATATGGGCCAGTCCGTCGACAAAGCAACAGCATCATCCGCAGATTCTTCAAAGGTTGGCGCCGTGTTACTGAAAGATGGAACTAGGCTTGAAGCAGATCTTGTGATCGAAGGCGTTGGTATCAAACCAGCAACTTCGTATCTCAAAGACAATTCTGCAATTCAGTTATTGGGAGACGGTTCCTTAGAAGTGGACGAATCTTTCCAAGTGAATGGCCTGAAAGACGTCTACGCTATTGGAGACATTGCAACATATCCTTATCACGGCCCAGGGAGTAATGGCAAGAAGGTGCGCATTGAGCATTGGAATGTTGCCCAGAATGCAGGGCGCACAGTGGCCAAGGCGATCAATGCACCAGAATCCAAACCTGAGCCTTTCACACCCGTCTTTTGGTCAGCTCTGGGCATGCAATTGAGATATTGTGGCAATACCATGGCGGGATATGACGACGTGGTAATTAAAGGAGAAACTGATCCCGAGAAAGCGAGCTTCATTGCCTATTATACCCAGGGCGAGACCGTTGTGGCTGTCGCGACAATGGGCAAGGATCCATATATGGTGCAATCTGCAGAACTGATGCGAAAGGGGAAAATGCCAAGCAAAAGGGAAATCTTGAATGGAATTGACTTGCTCGAGGTAGATGTTCCGAAGCTATGAATGTCTGAGAAGGCATTGTTAGACTCTCAAGATTGGATAAGCATATCAGAGAACACAAAAACATAACTCGCTTTGATTTCCTTGGTTATGGTTACGCAAATTCAATGAGCAATGTGCAATGTGCAATGTAAAGCTGGCAGAAGATTGGAGAATAATTTCAAGCAATAACGCAAAATGGTAATGGCTACATTGCTAAAAAGTACAAACAGACATTGCGATTCCTTTCGTCGATGATTTACGATGTTTATGGCAGGTTTAATGTTGTTACGGAGTAAAAACAATCAATAGAATCAAGCGCGAAATCACCGAAGCGGGCTTCATGAGCAACAAAAGTTGAAGCAAAATAGATAACTAATGAAGGGTGAGAGTAGTATTGCAATTTGGATGGAATCGCATTCCGCAATGAAGATACTTTACTACTTGATATTGTTGTCTAGATCTGAATATATTCCAAAGCTCAAAAAGAATGTCCAATCTTCAATCTTGCCGACGCGCTTTTTTTTTTTTTTTTTTTTGTTGTTGTTGTTGTTGTTTTTCTCTATCATTTCCCTACTTAATAACAAAATGTACTTTTGGCTTGTTAGGCAAGAAGAGAACCTGTACTGGTTTCATCGGCAACCACACTTGGAGATCCAATTGGCACAGCTGGTGTAGTAGGGAAATTGACAATACTCGAATAAGTACCAGAGCAGCTCCGCGTGGTTGTCCTAAAAGTGGTAGGTATGGTGCTGTTAACTGTGGAGCTAGTATTTATGGTAGAAGTAGAGGTGGAGGGAGGAATTATGCCGTTCAGCTGCTCTGCTATCTGCTGAAGCCACGTTTCGAGGACTTCCTTGAGGCTGGTTTTTGTGTTAGTGGCTCTTGCAGTATGGAAAAAGCAAATTTTAGATCTTCTATGGCCACTTACTATCCGGGGTACTGATTTTCGAGGTCGATTAAAGCAATAAGAATGTCCGTAGTTTCACTGACAGATGTTGCTGGATTTGGAATACCCTGAGCCAGCGACATTGCAGCGAAAGCAGCGAAAAGGGCCTTCGAGAGCTTCATGATGCGCTAAGCAGTTGAAGAATCGTTCTAAAATGATCGTCTGGGTACGTTAGAATTGAATCTAATGGCTTCTGCATGGCCGATTGTTCGCTGCTTAAATATTAAATTTCGCCAGATGTATGAAAATTGAGGTACCAAACATTTCGGGCGCTGTCATTTAAGAAGATCTTTTCTTAATTTGTCGATCTTGTCATATGTTGCACTGGATGTTGAATTTGGGATACCGATGTAAGGAAGCCATACCAGATTCTCTTAGAACATGGACCGTTCCTGTCTCTCATGTCGTGCAGCCTGTCTATCATGTCGCGCAGCCTTGTACTTCTGTAACAACCTACAGACGTATTCGTAGTATCCAGTGTACAAGGCAAATTGTGGACATTCCGAAAACGAAACGTCTCCTTGATTTGCCTGGCTTCTTGAACACTGACTTTTCCTCTATTGGCATGATTCCTCAGCATTGCAATAAAGGTGCTATTTCATACAAACCATTCTAGCGATGCAAGGCACGGAGAGAATGTTTTGCTGTGTTGAAAATTTTTGCTATATCTCTTTTGGTTGTAATTCCTCCTCGATTAAGGATTCGCTCAGTTCTGTCCAATAAGATAGGACAATGTCAACAGCGTCTGCCACGGAGGCAGGTGGGGTTTCATTGTGATTTGCAAGAGCAAAGATGGCTGAGGGTTAGCTATATTCAAATATCTGAGTAGATAGCAAACTTTTAAAGGCACCAGTGTTGAAATTAAAACATGCAGTGGGGAAGACTAGTGGATCACCGCAGAAATCGAAGAGTATTCCTGCCTAATTAATCGATTGCCATCTCGAAGAAACTCATAAATTTGGCAAATTTGAGCCACGTAGCCAAGTACAAGCCATATGAGGACAGCATGAGACTGAAGGTACATTTCTACCATGATGGAAACTGAATTGCTTCCTTATCCTTGTCCCGCATCGGCCAGAGCAATTGGCGATGAGTGGGAGAACTGAAATGACAAAGCGCTTGAAACAAGTTCTCTTCGATGAGAAAAACCCTTTCGTCACAAAAAAAGCGTCGTGGTAAGATAGAATCGCCTCAATCATAAGATACGGCCTCATAGAAAGAAAGTTTATCAAAGTCAACCAGGATGAACTTAGAGCTAACATCATCATACTGCACACTTGGATCACGGTGTACAACTCGTGTTCAATTACCCGCTGAGAAGTGTATGCGCTTGTGGATACACGATTGTCAAGTATTCGCGTCCCACCAGAGATACGTCCGCCTATACCACCATGTGAATACTCAATCGTCACGCGGAATGTATGCGTATTCGTCAGCCAGAGCACTTAAGCGTATTTCGTGTTGGGCTGTGCCCGCCAGTTAAGAAACCTGAAGCATGAAAGGAAGCACGTAGGAGAAGACGACGGCAGAGGAGATTAGCAGAGAGCAGCAAGCCAGGGCAAAGAAACAGAGTAGCCGTCTCTCCGGCTGGAGAGAACGAGACTAGACCAGAAGTAGAGGTTTGATTGGTCTTTGTCAGGTGACACACGTGCTATGCCTTTTCAGTGCTAGCGTTGTCGCGCTTCTCGACGCGCCCGCGTCTTGCTTGCCTTTTTGCTTCATCAATCCCACTTTCTCGCTGCGTTGTCGCAACTCTCGCTGTTTACATCCTCCTTGATCCCCCTTTGGAACCAAAACTCCCGGTAATACAAACGCGGCACGTCATGGCGGACGCCGACCGACTAGGAGATGAGATCCTGGCCGATCGTGTACGGGCTGTAGAGGAATTCCTCGACCCTAGTATGGGACATGACATGCTCATTGGAGTTAAACACACATGCTTACTGGGCAACAGGTGACCAAAGAGCCCGTACATACAAGCCAGATATCATACTTATGCTTAATCGGGGCTTGAGACGCCTTACTGTCAGCATCGACGAAGTGCGCGCACACAGTAGGGAGTTGAGCGATGGCCTACTTAACAGCCCGTTCGAATACTCATTGGCATTTGACACTGCTCTCAAAAATGTCATAACTGCGCTGCCTGGAAGACCGAAGCACGAGTCCGATACTGATGTTATGTACTACTGCGCCTTTGTTGGCTCTTTTGGCGAATTCTCCTGCAACCCTAGAACCCTCAGCTCTAGTCATTTGAACCACATGGTTGCGCTTGAGGGCATTGTGACAAAGTGCTCTCTTGTAAGACCTAAAGTAATTAAGAGCGTACACTACAGTGAGGCGACCAATAGGTTTGTTACCAGGGAGTACAAGGATCAGACAATGACAGTCGGGGCGACAACAACCAGTGTCTACCCGACTGAGGACGACGATGGAAATCCAGTAGGTATCTCTGCTTCCAACATATGTTGTCTGTGTCAACTAACTGTCTAAGCTTATCACTGAATATGGCTATTCGACATACCGAGACCACCAGACCATCTCCATTCAAGAAATGCCAGAGCGTGCTCCTGCTGGCCAGCTGCCACGAAGCGTTGACGTTATTCTGGACGACGATTTGGTCGACCGCACAAAGCCGGGTGATAGAATACAGCTTGTTGGTATCTATCGAAGTCTGGGAAACCGCAATGCAGGTCATTCAAGCTCAACTTTCCGCACAGTCATCCTTGCAAACAACATCATCCAACTATCGTCCAAGTCAGGGGGCGGAATCGCACAAGCTACCATTACCGATACCGATATCAGAAATATCAACAAGATTGCAAAGCACAAGAAAGTCTTCGATCTTCTCTCACAGAGCTTAGCGCCCAGTATTTACGGACATGACTACATCAAGAAAGCGATTCTACTGATGCTTCTCGGTGGAGTTGAGAAGAATTTGGAGAATGGAACACACTTGAGGGGGGACATTAATATTCTTATGGTCGGTGATCCATCCACAGCAAAGTCGCAATTGCTGCGTTTTGTTCTTAATACCGCCCCACTCGCTATCGCAACCACTGGTCGAGGTTCATCAGGCGTTGGTCTTACTGCTGCGGTGACTACGGACAAAGAAACCGGCGAGAGGCGACTAGAGGCAGGTGCCATGGTTCTGGCAGACCGCGGTGTGGTATGTATCGACGAGTTCGACAAAATGAGCGATGTGGACAGAGTCGCAATCCACGAAGTCATGGAACAACAAACCGTTACCATAGCTAAGGCAGGCATCCATACCAGCTTAAATGCTCGCTGTTCAGTTGTAGCGGCAGCAAATCCCATTTATGGGCAGTACGACACACACAAAGATCCACACCGCAATATTGCACTACCCGACTCTCTCCTTTCTCGTTTCGACTTGCTCTTTGTGGTAACTGACGACATCGATGATGTGCGGGATAGGCAAATTTCAGAGCATGTGCTTCGCATGCATAGATACCGCCAACCAGGTCTCGAGGAAGGCGCCCCAATTCGCGAAACAGGCGCTCAGTCTCTCGGTGTTGGCCTAGACGGAGATGCTGATGCCAACAAACCTACCGAGGTCTATGAAAAATTCAATGTCATGCTTCATGCTGGGGTCACAGTTACTACTGGCCGTGGTTCTGGCAGGAAGGTTGAAGTCCTCACTATTCCCTTCATCAAGAAATACGTGCAGTACGCGAAGCAACGGATAAAGCCTGTTCTTACTCAAGGCGCTGCTGAACATATCAGCGCCACTTACTCTGCACTTCGCAATGACGAGATGGAGGGCAATCAGCGAAAGACTTCTCCGATGACAGCTCGTACTCTTGAAACGCTTATTCGTCTGTCTACCGCACATGCAAAGGCTAGACTCAGCAACCGCGTCGAGGTTAAGGATGCTGAAGTTGCAGAACAGATTTTGAGATTTGCCTTGTTCAAGGAGGTCGTCGAAGATGAGCGACGCAAACGAAGAAAGCGAACGCATAGGCCAGATGACGATGCCATGTCCACAGATTCTGACTCAGATTCCTCCGATGACGACGATGGTGACAGTAGACCACGCCAGAGCACCCCTCGTACAACTGGACCCCGGACGAGACGCAACCCTGGAGTGAACGGTGCAAATGGTCATCCTGGCATTCACGGCGATGAAGGGGATGATGATCTTTATACAACTACCCCTCGCACGCAGCGAACGCGTACACAGCGAACGAATGGTACGGGGACTCAATCACAATCCCAGTCACACTTTTCTCCTGCTTCTTCTCTTCCAGCCTCACAGCTTATCCCTCAGGCAGATGATTCACAGGGTACAGCAAGTGGAGCTCGGAGAGCTGAGGTCTCTCCAGAACGTATACAAGCGTTCCAGGCAGCATTAGGCCAATTGATTGATTCGCCGCTATTTGCCAATGATGCTGCGGATGAGGAACCACTTATTGCCGCTATTAATGCAAGATTATCGGGGCCAGACGAGTTTGACGAGGACGAGGCAAGATTGTGTCTGGAAGCTCTGAGTGAGCGGAACAAGATTATGTGAGCATCTCAATCGCATTTTATTGCAAGATCGGGAAACTAACAACAGCCGTAGGTACACTGGTGGCATTATCTACAAGATATGAGATGCTTGGAAGGATAAAAGTCTTTTAATCAGCGCTGGGAAACCAAGCATTTGATGTTCTGCATTGTTATGGGGTACGGATCTATGACGTTTTCCTGCGTACTGGAATTATTTTGCCTGAGTGTAACGTACGGGGTGAACATGAGTTGAATTATGATTCTTTTAGCCAAACCCTATTTTGGTGTGATTGGTGTGAGTTTGTAGCAACTAAAGGGACTAGAAATGAGAGCTAGGTATTTTTGTGTCTCCCTGGATGCAATCCTTGAATACTGTGAGGCGTCAAGTATCCGTCTTAATATGCTTTTAACCTGTTTCAAAAGTGCATCTCTTGGTTTTCTCATTGCGCAGCACCAGCTGCCGAATGAGGTAAAGAGCCATCGTCCGACTCCGCATTTTAGCATCCCCAACTTTGTGGGGCTCTCCACTCAGTTCAACAACACGCTCGCTGATCACAAAATTGCGATAATGGAGCTTAAAAGAAGAGTCTCCAGGGCCTGCGACGCATGTAAGCTCCGAAAAGTCAAATGCAATGGCGAACCCAGATGCTCGCAGTGCGCTCACAGCGGTTTGCGCTGCATCTACTCCGCAACAGCGAAACCACGATCACAAGGTCGAAGAGGGAGGGTCATTCTGGAGTACAAACAACAAACATCGAATCCAATTCGGCACTTGGCACCTTTGCTACCTCGAAAAGATGAACTTGTTCTTGACAAGGCCTACTTTCTCAACCTGCTTCCGGACTATATGGCTTCGGTCTACCCAGTACAGCCGATTTTGTCAGAAGACGAGATCAGACAAAATATCGAGATGATGGACACTGATAAGGAAGCTTACTCTTACGTTCACGCATTCGGTGCGTGTACGTTGAATTTGTCATACATTGGGGATCGAAGGACGCCAGACATTGCCGAAGCCATCGAAAGGCTTGTCAATGAGAGCATTAACTCCCGTCGTCTAGTTTCACGAGGATACAAATCTTCCATACGCCAATGCATGACCTCTCTGCATCTCCATAACTGCTTTATGACTATGCGAGATTCGGATGCCTCGTTCTTCTACATGCGAGATGCAATCACCCTTGTTCAGCTTCTTGGGATAGAGACAAATCGTGGAATGTCTTCCTTGCCTCAACATGAAAGGGCGAAGCGGCAACGGCTATATTGGGAAGCGTACATTCACGAGCGCTTTCTGGCCATCCTAGATTATCGTCAAGCCGTAATGCGGCCCCTTCAGAGTCTACCTGAGGACGATCCAACAATACCCATAAGTGTTCAGGAAGGCTTCAACCAAATAATTCGACTCTTCCAGCTCCTTGATGTAGAGTTCTTGCAAAACTGGCTTGGTCATCACGATTCAAAGATTACGCCTGCTTGGATCGAAAGCAAGCAAGCAGAGCTTGACCAACAGCTTGATAATCCAGAGGGTAACTATGCTGTGTTGAACAGCATGCAGAAGGCAGATCTTGTGGTCACCAAACAGTGGCTGAAGACTCTCGTCTGGAGACTTGCGATGTCAAACACGTTGCTATCCTCCAGTTCACCAAAGGAATGTCTGTCACTACTGTTCCCAGTTCGACTTTCCAAGCAGCTTCGTAATCAGCTATCCACGATTTCAAAACAGGACATAGAAATTCACGGCAGTGGAATTGTGCAGAAGCTATTCGAAATCACCGACACGATTGCCGACGTGATAATAGCGGCGCCTGCGCATAGCATACAAGATACCGCCAACCGCGTCGACGACTTTCTTTTCCTTGCTGAGTACCTCTTTACCTTTCCGACTCTCGACAACACACGGAAGAGCATGGTTCAAGAAAAGCTTGAGAAGCTTCAAGGAATGTTTCCGCAGATGGGAAGCAATCCGAATTCACCAGGAACTCCTCCTTTCTTCGAACATGTCGGCGTTCCCGACGGACCATGGTACGGCGCCACAGAGTCTATGCTGCCTATCACTGTTACATCGCCCACCGTCACAGCAAGTTCCCCAGATAATGAACTAGCTCCCTCTTTTCCTACTACGATGAACGGCAGCTTGTACACACAGTATAACGAAATTGCGAGACGGCTGTCCGTTGCGGACTTTGCCTTCCTCAAGGACGGTGCTCTAGGAGATACCAATTCCCACCTTCATTAAATGTCATTACCTCGACTCCCGTGGAGGATATGCTACAGTATAATCTAGTGTGCTCTGACTTCTCTTTTTCGTCTCATCTCTTTGTCTTTTGTTGTCTCAGATCAGGTTGAGCAAACCTGGTTTTGGCTAGCGCAATTTCCCCGACAATGTAGTTTGCAACTCCTCCCGCAACTTGTCGAGCAATTTAAGTCGAGCAATTAAATTAAATAAACACGCCCTTCGTACGGCTGCAGATTGTACCCTTCGGAGCAATCCAGCGTACTCACCAGCAATTTTGCTCCCTTCAACTCTCTAGGTAATTCAAATGTCTGTTCCTTTTTTGAAAAATTGCACACAACAAAGGCCTTGCTGGCATGCCATTGTTTTGTGAAAGCGAAGAGATTGTCATCTTCCGGGTCAACGACATCAAAATCGCCGTACACGAATAAGTCGTTGTGTTCTCGGCGCAGAGCCAGCATCTTCTTCCAGAATGCTAGCACCGAGGAAGGATCCTCTGACTGCTGCTTGGCATTGCAAACGCAAGCGTCGTCATTCACACGCATCCATGGCTTACCTGTTGTAAAGCCTGCGTTCTTTGTGCCATCCCACTGCATAGGAACTCTTGCATGGTCTCGTGCGAGATGTTGAAGGGCCACCTTGGCAATAGCAAGTTCTGTCGGATTCCCGTTGCTTCGTTTATCCACAAGATCGTACTGTGCATCAATTAGACAAAGTGGGACATGGGCGGTCTGGTTTGGAACTCACGTAATTCAATGAGTCAACGTCCTTGTACTCCTCTATACCCCATTCCAAGGGGAAGTTAATCATCCCGAGCTCTTGGCCTTGATAAATAAACAGAGTTCCAGACATGGCCATCAACATCAGGGCGAGCATCTTGCCGCTCGCAACACGATGCTCGGGTGCATCAGAAGCAAAGCGCGAGATGGATCGTGCCTGATCGTGGTTCTCGAGAAAAGCAGTGGTCCAGCCATCGGTGCCTTTGATAAGACTCTGTGTGTTAGCTATCGCTTGTTTGAATGCCGAAAGTTTCCAATTGAACGGTGTTGTTTGGTACTTGTGTGGGCCCATGCCAATGTCTACGACATCCTGGCCATGCCGTTAGTATTTGGAAATCCGCCATGCCTCAGGGCGCACACTTACAAATTGGAAGACCATGTTCAACTGCTTTTGTGACGCACTCACATAGCTCAGGACACGGTCGCGGTCTGGAGTGTTTGGACATTCCCCGACACTCATAGCGTCGTATCTGACGAGTATCTCGTTCATTTCCCGCAGGAACTCGTGCATTCGTGGTCCGTTGCAGTATTCGTAACCAGCCCATTGCCACTCGCTGGTGACATCTGTGATGGGAGCATCGGCCATGACAGTACCTTTACTGTACATGTTCACAGTGTCCACGCGGAAGCCATCGACTCCTCTATCAAGCCAGAATATCATGGCTGACTTGTATATAGCTTGACGAGTTTCCTCGTTCTCCCAATTAAGATCAGGCTGCTCCGGGCAGAAGAGGTGCAGATAATACTCCTGCGTGTGCTCATCCCACTGCCAGACACTTCCACCGAAGTTTCCACGCCAATTGTTAGGCGGCTTTCGTACTCCATTCACGTACTTCGCCGGCCGCCATATATACCAGTCCCGTTTCGGATTCGTCTTGGAGCTTCTGGATTCTTGAAACCATTTATGCTGGTCTGAGGTGTGGTTGATCACTAGATCAAGAATGATGCGCATTCCCCGCTTGTGCGTCTCGGCGATGAGAACCTCCATGTCTCGGAGAGTGCCGTACGGCGGGTACACGTTCTCGTAGTCGCTGATATCGTAACCCATGTCAACCTGCGGTGAATCGTACATTGGACAGATCCAAATGATGTTCACACCAATGGATTGGATGTAATCCAGCTCTGAAATAATCCCTGGAATATCACCAATACCGTCTCCGTTAGAGTCTTTGAAGCTCGCTGGGTAGATCTGGTAGACCACACCCTCTTTCCACCATTTTCGTCTTTCGGTGATAGTCATGACGGATATTAAATTAATGGCAAACAAAACTTGAAAAGGATGATTTTTGGAAAAAAAAAAAAAAAGATTAGATTACGACGGAAGTTGAAAGTCTGAAGACAGGGAGAGAACGGCGTTTTATCAGCTGCTTACACCAGGAATTCACTATCCGACACTTCGGCAAGTGCACTAGAATTGAGCTCCTAGAAATACCTAGCTCACTTATAACTCAACAATCATCCCCTAAAATAGGATTCCCCTTCGGCTCGCGATAAGCGACCTCGTGGAAATTCTCGGTGTTGCGATGATCTACTGACGGAACGCGGCAGTTGGAGAGAGATTAAGCCTGCTGATTCGAGACATCTCGGGCCGAGTCGTTGTCGGTCCGTCTTCGAGTACATGTCTCCGCGCAGATCAAGGAAGCGCTCGAACTTGCAACGTAACCGAAGATCACGAGGAATGAACAGGTGCCAAGGTTTGCTCTACCGTTGCCGCTGATTCGTTCAAAGTCGGATCGGTCTGAGAAAGCTTCGAGATTACGTTAATTGGCCGCCCGACTAAGCGTCCCCAAGCCTAGCACAGCCAAAAGTCAATGGGCACGGCGTAGCAGTCAAGCGGGGTGCATTAGCTTGGCTCAGTGCGGGAGGTTTTTCTCTGGGGTATCAAAACTTGAATTCACTGCTGGAATTGATTTGAAAGCTCTTTATTCGCTCAAGGACATCAAGTTTTCATTGGTTGATTATCGGCTAGAGCCAAAATGGGCGTAGCAAAGGTCTCTCTGCGATCCCAATGACCAACAAACCACACGAAAAATCGCTCCTACGATTACCCAAGTGCGGAGTAGACACGCTCGAAAGAGTTGCTTCTCTTCAGCCACAAAGCAAAGGGACTGCTCGTGGTCCAGTCCTTTTAAGCAAGGACTTCTATTTAATGAGAGAGATTCCCACGACCATGGCGCTCGACCAGCATCGATTTCTGCCAGCTACAGTAGCCATATCTAGCAACTTTAGCTGACTGAAGACAAATATCTTTTGTTCACATCTGCCTCGACCGTGTTCTTTAACGTCTGCTAATCAGCAAAACGATTCGAAATGTCTCGGCGCTACTCCCTCCGTCCTGGCGAGGACGGCCTCGAAGTCCATGTGGACGACGAGCAGTTCCGCAAGATGTCCGTTATCAACCCGAACATAGTTGCAATTGCCGAAGATGCTGCAAGAGCCGCAGAGGCTGAGCAGACCCAGGGTCTTATTGCAGGTTTGAAGCTCTACCGCAAAGCTTCTGCATGGTCAATTTTGCTGTCGACTGCGATTGTCATGGAGGGATTTGACATTGTGCTGATTGCCAACTTGATTGCGGTTCCTGCTTTCCAGCGCAGGTTTGGTCATCAGCTTCCAGATGGCACCTATCAAGTCACTGCTGCGTGGCAATCTGGTCTCACCAATGGCGCTCTTGTTGGCGAAATCCTTGGACTGATGATAAACGGTCTTATTGCTGACAGATTCGGCTATAAAAAGACGATGATTGGCGCTCTGACTCTAGTTACTGGCCTTATATTTATTGTTTTCTTTGTCCAGAGCATTGAAATGCTCCTTGTTGGTCTCATCTTGATGGGTATCCCATGGGGTGTGTTCCAGACACTTACGACAACAGTACGTCAAAAATTGGGCTTCAGCGAGATGGTGATTCTCTGCTAACATATTTCGCACAGTATGCCTCAGAAGTCACACCAGTGGCACTTCGTCCTTATCTAACTACTTATGTCAACTTGTGTTGGGTCTTTGGCCAGTTCTTGGCCTCGGGTGTGTTGAAGGGTGTTTCTCTCCGCGAGGATCAATGGGCTTATCGGATTCCATACGCCCTCCAATGGATGTGGCCAGTCCCCCTCATTATTGGCATATCACTTGCCCCCGAATCACCCTGGTGGCTTGTTCGCAAAGGCCGACTGGAGGAGGCCAAGAAAATGCTCTTAAGGCTGACGTCTCGGAACCAACCGAATTTCAACGTTGATGAGACTATTGCAATGATGGTTCATACCAACGAAATGGAAAAAGCGATCACCGAAGGAACAACCTACTGGGATTGCTTTAAGAAAACTGATCTTCGCCGAACTGAGATTGCGGCGAATACCTGGATGGTTCAAGTGTGGTGCGGCGCCTCATTCATGGGTTTCAGCACATATTTTTATGAGCAAGCCGGTTTAAACACCTCGAATGCTTTTACCATGAGTATGGTACAATACGCACTTGGGGCCTTAGGTGTGTTTGCTGCATGGTTCCTGATCCCCAAGTTCGGTCGCCGCACTCTATACTTGGGTGGTTTGGTTATCATGTTCAGTCTCCTCTTGATCATCGGGTTCTGCGGAATCGCTTCCAAAGACAACGCTCCAGCACAGTGGGCTATTGGATCCATGCTTTTGATTTTCACCTTCATCTATGATACCACCGTGGGACCCATCTGCTATTCTCTTGTTGCTGAAATTCCATCCACACGTCTTCGGCAGAAGACAGTCGTTCTTGCTCGCAATTGGTACAACATCGGTGGTATTGTCAGCAATGTGTTGACCCCGCGTATGCTGAATCCCTCTGCTTGGAACTGGGTAAGTTTTGCTTGATGTCTTGTATCCTATACCGCTAACAGTAGTATAGGGCGCAAAATCCGGCTTTTTCTTTGCTGGAACTTGTTTCCTTTGCCTCGTTTGGGCGTTCTTCCGCCTTCCAGAACCGAAAGGACGCACTTATGGTGAGCTGGACGTGCTATTCGAGCAGCACATTCCGGCCAGGAAGTTCAAGACCACCGTTGTCGATCCATACATGACTGGTGAGGCTCGACGTGCATCAATTGCTGCCCAGGAAACCAAAGGCGGTGAAAAGGATTTGTCTGTCCACAAGTTCGAGAAGACCCAAACAAACTCGTCTTAGACGATCGTCTTAAACGAGTCAAATCACTTAATTCGGGGACGCATAACGACGATGCATGGTTTCTACGGAGCGCTAAGTTCGTTTTGTATATAGTTTTTGGATTTACACCATAAGCATTCGACTTAATGTTGGAATTTTACGTGCATCTAATTCATTCTTTTGCTAAAAGTGACTATTTTGATTCTGACGCGGATTGTATACCTCAGTTTGTGGACAATGACTCCATGTTGTGCCACATTGCCTATTGCTTGTAATTGATTATACATCACCTAGAATGACATATTCTAAGGGATCTTCCCGATTGTAGTCCCTGACCGCAGATCTGATTTAGTACCACTTTACTCTCCCTTGTTGAACGTCGTACAAGGAATTGTTGACGATATTCTGTTCGTCGTTCTGTCCTGGTGATCTTCCTCGTCCAAAGCCTGCCGCATGTCATCGCCAAACAGTAGCGTGATGTTTACAACAAAGTATACATCACCTGTTTTGCGATTCTTAAGCACGTATCGTAAATTGTGCGTTTTGTCGTTGATGTACTTGATAACACGAATTGAAAAGCCTGGCAACCTCAACGCGAATTTGTTAAAATCCAGATAGGGATTGAAAAAGTCTCCCTGGTAGAGACGATCTTTCTCGAACGTAAACTCAGCACGACGTTCAGCAGATAGATAGAACTTTCGCCGTCTCAAATCTGGTGGCATGCCGAGCCGTTCCCGGACCTCCAACCCGGTGCCGTCTCCGCCCTCTTCAAGGGGGCTTTCTTCGTCGACGTGGGGGATATCCTTCTGCTGCTCCGGCGAGAGCCTGTCACCAATCCGGAATGTGAACCAGCAGTCCAGTGCTGGCGCGTATAGCCAGGGCTGATCGGAATACGGATCGGCCTCAATTCCGGGATCAATGAAATTCTTGACAAGGTTGAGAGCAAATTTGAAGCCAGGCGGAAGACGATCTCGAATCGGGTGATCGAAATCGTTCCCTACATGATAGGAATTAAAATGATGACACTCGAAGGACAGCAGGCATAACTCACCCCACCACAACTCATCGCCAGGTAAATCAACCTTTGGTACAAATGAGAAACCAACAGAGTATTGGTCTTTCACATGCAAAGGATGGTCAAAGTATGGCGAATGTGAAGGAGAGATTCGTGGAAGGCCTCTGTAGCCTCGTATTCGAACCTTGACCTTTATTTTCATGAAGTCGTTCTCGAACGCAGCTGCGTCGTTCCCGTTGACGACGATCGGCACATGGGTATCTGGATCGTAACTAGGACCAGCAGTGACCCGGAGAATGTATTTTTCACCGTATTCGTCAATTTCACCGCTGATTTCACTGATGCTGTCAGGGGTATCTGCGATTTTGGCTGCTACGTTCGATGCGCCTTTAGCAACTTTGGCCTTGAGCGCGGACATCGTAAAGGACTTCACCAAGTCCTACGTTTTAAAAACCTGAAGGATGCCTCTTGAGTCAAAGGATTGTGCTCATCGATTCGCGCTGTTGTATTCAAGATAGCACTCCCAACAAAAATAAAACCGAAGCATTGTGTGAGCCAATCAGGTCGACGACGTCATGATTGAACTCAAGGATCAACGTGAGACAATTTAGGTAGGAACTCGTGTTTCAGTCGCAGCGCACTGGACGAGATTATGAAGAAATAAAACACAGCTTGCCATAGGTACGGAGGTCGTCAAACTGGCCGAATTCATTAGGCTTTAGAAATTTGATTCCGAACGTCGGCCCACTCAAGGTTGCAGCAGCAATGCATTGATGTATGAAGTGATCACTACGGCAATGTGTCGAAGGGGTACACAGCTGTACTTTTGCCGCAATGCATTCATTGCACTAAGTTGATATTGTAGTAGAAATAAAGCATAACCGCAAATGCCTCCCTGTTAAGGAGAGTTCAATATCTGTAGCGTTTTAATGACTAGAGCCAGATAAGGTGATGTTGAGTTATGTATTTAATCAGGAGCCTGAATTCCCCGTACGTCGTTGGCCCTCCGTCGTGAGGCTTGTATCGTGCCATTGTTTCCAGCGTAATTGCAACTAGTAGCATGATGGTTGTAACAACTGCCAAAGGCACAAAGGACACTGTGAAGACAGCGTCGACCGAAGTTGCGTAACCGAACACCCATTGAATGCTGGACTTTGCCACAAATAAGACCAGATTTCGCCACTTGAATCGCCAGAGCTTGGGCACGAAAGCGTCTGGGTCTTCTGCGTACCGGCTGTATGCGTCTTGCCAACTCACATCGTCATTCATGAAGTACGCCACAACATCTGCACAATGCATGAAGAACGCCAGCAAGCCCGACATTCCTGATTGAATCAACACTCCTAGGAAGAATTAGACAAACGTCCAAGAGCTACGAAGGCACATCGCGGCCATTTGCTTACCTGCCCAATCTGTGACGAGCGAAGTGGGACCGATAGGGGCCTGAACAAACCCGAAGCCAGTCCAATCGTCTCCTTGAATCTGATCAATAGCAAAGCTACCCTGCTGTTTGGCAAAGTACGCAGTGATGACAAGGCAAGTGGCCAAGATAGCGAACGCCACCCAAATTACACGGACAAGCCAACGCACTCGGGACACCTGTTTGTAGACACTCATCCTAAGCGGCCTTTGCGTGTGGTTTCTCGGGTCTGCAAAATACATTCCTCCCGTGAGGATCATGAAAACTGCGTTCACAACAGGGTCTGAGCTCCAAGTTTTGATGGTTTTCTTCTCAGGCCCAAAGATTAAGATCAACGTCCAGATTGAAATCAGACTCTGTACCCAAAGCGCGCCGCCGAGCATCACAAGAGGATATCCTGATATGTCCACGCCCCAAGCAGTGTATATTGGAGGCCCCAGGATGTTAAATTCCTTGTCACAAATGCCACTAGTATGGATGCGAGCCGTGAGGGTAGCAGCGCCACCGTATCCGATAGCTATTGCCACGGCCGCAACAATATTGGTAGTCCAATGACATGGTCCTAATGTGCGGCTTAGTCAAAATAGACTAGATTACGTTGTTCTTTCGTTCTCGATCTTACCGAATTTTTTGGTTCCGCCTAAAAAGCGCGAATTCGTGTTGTATCTTGGACCATTTCCACTCTCCTTTTGGAGGAGCCAAAGCATGGCAGTGAAATTTACGCGGGCGTGAGCATCGAGGAACAAGGTTATGATTATGTTTGCGAAGACTTGAATCAGCATCGACGAAGCCGCTGTGGATGGGAACGCGAAGTGGTTCTTTTTGTACTTGCGTATGCCCGTCCACACCACTTCCAGACCATTTGCCGTTGCACATGTATCATTCAAGAATTCAGGCAAAACCTGCCGACTCTTCAGGATCAGGGCGCCGCATGTCATCGCGCCAATTGAGACTGAAGTAGACAAAAACACCATTGACGAACACCATGCTCGAACATCCGGTCGCTGCAATGAAGCGCGAGATAAAGCCTCAACTGTGCCTTGAGCTGTATTATCACGGCTCAATGGCCGCTCCTTTATGGCAGCAACCGGCTGCATGACAATCTATCTTATCAAGGAGAGTATTATTATAGAACCAATCTGGCAGTAACCGACTTCAAAAAAATGACACTAAAGGTTTGAGGGAAACAACTTCATCCCCTTATGACCTGCTATCTGCTTGACCGGGTTAAATAAAGGCTGTCTGAGTTAAATTACCTATCACTTGGGGTCCAAATAAACCCAAAAGCATCTCTCTCATCTTCGTAGTCTAAGGTTATTCGACTACGTATCTTAAGCGCTCTAAGCAGAGCCTGATCTACACTCATGGGCCAATACTCGACGTCCGCACAATGTGTTCGATGCCGCGCTGCCATTGAATCGGTTTTCATCTTCAAGATTTTCATGCCGTCAGCCACCACTGACACTAAAGTTAGGAAAAACCTTATGATACGCCCTGAGAAAGATAACTCTTCTGGGTTTGGCTGAAATCCATCCTGAAAATTTGAGTTGAAGGCGTTCTATTCGGCGCTTGCGTTTGTCTGCGGCAATATCCTTTGCAAGCTCGCAGGCATCACTCCCATGTGTATACGAAGCACCATCCGGTCAATGCAGTATGATGGGGCCAAGCTGCCGATTCTGCGGATTAGCTCAAACGAACATTGTAAGTTGCAGATGTGCTTCCCAGGACTATCCAATCACGGCACGACCGTCGGCAAATTCCAGCTTTCATGCTTTCCGGTTCGTCGAACGAGCAAATATGATTGATCGACCAAAGATCGAGTCTAGACCACACGATCTTGTACGAAGTGCACAGCCGAGCAGTTCGTACGGAGTCATCACCAACCACAAGCCTATCTCAAAGATAGCAAAAAAGAGGCTTCTCGGCAAACTTGCGATAGGAGAACAGCTAGTTTAATTTAGAAGCTTAAGTACTGAGTTGAGCTCTCGATAAGCGATCTTACACCAATTCTCTACCAATCATATGTCGTTGCGTCCCAAGAGAGCCCCCAACAAGGCAGACACCAAAGGCTAGTAGCGACGCGTCCCGCGGATTAGAAGCAATGTCTACCTTGGCCGCAAAACGCGCGCTTGACATGGATGGTTTGACATATGAATATGCGATGGTGTGCTACTTTGAGCTCGGTATTTGGCATTCAAAATCAAGTCCATGAACTCAAGAGCAATTTCTTCTTCACCTTAAGCTCCCCGTTCTGCGAAAGCTTTCTAAATCTGCTAGTGAACATATCACAATGAAAAGATTTGCTGCCCTTTGTCAACTTACGCCGTTGCTGTTGTTGCCTTTAGCAGCAGCGACCGCAGAGAGCCATGATATAAAGTCGACAAACCTCTTTGACAAATTAGCGGGCGACTGGCAACATGGGCTCGTCAAATTGCTGAAAGACGCATGCGATCCCGGTTGCTGCGGAAAGAAGGCTAACAGCGGTGGAAGTCTACCCTGCTGCGCGTCTTGCGACGACATTGAGAAACTCGACAACTATGGCATATCCTTCGCCATTCCTTCAGGTACTTTATCAAACCTTTCAATGCGAATTCGCCGACTGACGGATGTCTTAATGAGCAGTTTCAAAGGACTCGGAAAGCGCAACAAGCGAAAGGAGCCCGTTTGTCACTGTGAGCCAAACACCGATCACAGCGACAGGGGCTCCTATCGTAGTTCTTCCAAAGGGGAACGGCCTTCCATTCGTTATACGCTGCGCAGTATGCAACAACGGTGGTCTCGATTGCAGCCCTCCACAGGACTGCTCCGGTGGAGGAGGTGTTGCAATAGTGGCACCTCATTACCCACCCACGCTTTTTCAAGGTGATGATGGACACTGGAAGTTGATCATCCAAGAAGCAGATAACTCTATTAAGGTGGAGTCTGCTTGCATCTGTGGCGATGGCGTAATCAATTTGGAGTGCCCTTGCAAAAATCTTAAAAAAGCAACAGTCGATGTCCTAAAAAAGAAAGCTGTCCAAAGGGACGAGCTTTGAAATTAATCTGTTAGGTATTAATAAAATTCCTGTTTCAGGCTTTAAGCCCTCAAAGTAGACCACGATGAAGTGTACTAAGACGTCCGTTGGCCGTTGCAATAGTGTCGTCGTCCTAGAATAACTCACCTATCCTATCACAATTTTTTGAGTCTTGAGAGAACTTGGCAGTTCCGGGACTACGCGAAAGAATTGAAGCCACGAAATAGCCTGAAAAGGGTCCGCCTTATGTGAATAACATGTGATGTTTGGAACTGGATGTAGACAATCGAAATTGACCAATGAACAATGCTTCCTAAACTAAAGAACGCCTTTGTACGCAACACGGTGCCGATTAAGCCCCCGTGGGAAATCCTATTAATAGACCGATTTGCAGCCAATATAGAATGGATATTCAAACGTCTGCACTGTGAAATGCTGCAATTGAAGGAAGCTTTGAACTAGATTGGCCAAGTGCCAGTACAATTACGGCACGTGACCGGCTTCTTGTCACGCCCTCTCCACGCTGAGACTACGTAACTGCCTTGCAAGCAACCCCTCGGACTGCTTATTCGTACTGTCGTGGCTGTTTGGACTTGCACTTCTGCCAAGACAAAACTGGGCATCGCCGTTTCGGGAAGAAGATTCAGTGAGAAACGGATTGGGCCTACGTTCCGCCCACGCCGTGTTCGGATCATTCCTCCCACTAGACGTTGTGAATTCTCCTAGTGAGTCTCCCATCATAGACTTGCTCAAATCAGAAGTCATATTGGTTGGAGACTCGGACAGGGTGTGTTTTGCGAAGGCATTGGACTCGACGGAGCTAGTATCTCGACTAACAGGGCGACTCGGTACAGTCTCCAAGTGATGCAATATGAACGGTATGGGTTTGACGTATTGGTTATGTTTGGGTAGGCTCCAGTCTAGAACATTGGTCGCGTCAAGATACGTATTTTGAGAAACCCCCATGGATGTGCTCCCACGTTGTGTTGTACGATCATCCGCGGTAACCTTGGCCGAACCCAAAGCACAGGAAGCCGAGTGTTGATGTCCAGGGATAGAATCGCGAGAAGGTTTATACACGCTGTATTTTGGTTCAGGCAGCTGAATCTCGTTTCGCAACTTCTCTTTGCCATCCGGAACACGATTTGCAAAGACGACGCGGATGGATTTGTACAGATAGTACCGTCCTTTTGCAGTACAGCAGATGTGAAGGTGTATAAGGTATCTTAGAACCGGTCTGTCACGTGGATCATCAGCGTTGGACAATGCAGCCTCCGGGCGGTCTGTCCCTAGATTCGATCTCGCACTTAGAGGCATATCGATGATGGGGCCTGCGGAGTAGCTGCGTTGCCTAATGAATGTCTTCTGACCAGGCTCCATGTCGCTGAGATCGTATGGCACGAGAAATAGCTTGACGGCCGTCTTATTTGGATTTTTGATAATGATCTGGAGTTGACCTTGCTGTGGAATCCGATAAGACCCTCCAGGTGGAGCCTTGGGAGATTGCGATCTCTTTCGCAATTTCTCGCGCTTTAGCCTTCGGGTGAGATTTGTGGACTCTGAGCCAGCCTGCTGACGTGGTCCTGGCTCATCTCTATCACTTGACGGAGCAGGCGAAGCGTACCGTTTGCGTCTTCTACTCTCGTCCCGCGCACTCTTTGACAAGGAAATGTTATTTTCGATGTCTATCAGTCCGACGTAGGGACTGGGTTGATTGTCCATAATGCGCCCCCCTGCACCGCTTCCGTAACTGTAAAAAACCGCCGGAAAGGGGACAGTTGCGTGCGGAGGACAGCGTAGGCTCGATTTGCACTTGCCTTTGCCCAGGACGCCAATTTGTGCGACAAAATTCAGCGGTCGAGACGGTATGGTTGACATCCGTCCTCGCAGGATGGATTCCTCGTATGAACCGACCATTGGGGCGTGGTGTAGAGGTGAAGATTCTGAAGCGTTAGATAGACCCCTTGGCCGTATGAGAGGCGTTTGCGGAGTGGAGCTTGGAATCGAATGGGAAAGCTGTGCGAGCGACGTGATGGATCTCCGTGGCTGGTGTGCTTGGTAGGGAAACATGCTTTCCCGTTTTGTAGGAATAATAGGACGTGGTTTAGGGGGGCTTGAGCCAGAGATGGCACTTCCATAAGCCTGTAGGGACCGCGGGGAGAATGTGTGCCGTCTGTTATCTCGGATCGGACTGTGAGCTCGTCGTTGAGACATTGGGTTCGAAGGAGGGTCTTCGAGGTCGGAATTGTACGTCGACTGCACAAGTGGGCTTGTGGGAGGCATAAGAACAAATTGTGACAGCGATGACGTCGTCGAAGTATAGGATATAGCCTGCGCCCGTCGCTCTGAGGGTGTCCTTGTGGCAAGGAAGGTTGGAAAGTCGGCGTGCCATGGGGCAACTGGTGATGTCGACATCGGCATGGACTCTCGCTCGGCTCTCCTGCTCACGTTCTTGTCGTCTCGGAAATCACCAGAGTGCAGTGCAGACTTCGGTCTTTCAATTTCCATGCCTGCATCCTTGTTGCTCCAAACGTTCTCGCCGGTACCGCTCCTTGATGACTCTTCCAGTTCGATAGCTGGGAGAAGCGTTGACGGAAGATAACGTTGCGGCGAAGTATCTTTGGGCGACAAGACTCGGTCCTTCGACTCTCTTGCTATTCCACCCTTGTACGGCCAGGTCGGGGAAGTCCCCCTCTTTATCCGCTCTATCAGCTCTTCTCGATTCAACGGCCTCCCCTCTCCGTCAGGCCCCACTCCGACAACTCTCTCAACCGCGGGAACATTCGCTCTAGGGGACGAAGAAGTGTGGTTGTCCCTTCTATCCGTCCAGGATGTCTCCATCTGGAAGAGCGAGAGGTGGTTGTCATCATCTACCGCCAGCGGACGCCGAGGTTGTGACGGAGGTCTCTCCACAATGTCATGGAAGATTGGCATTGTGAAAAGTCGGATGGGGAACTATGGGTCATGATATGCAAGACTCAAAGAGAAGACATTGTTAAATGCCGTATTAGTTGGCAGGCAAAGCGGAAAAAGAACTAGAGATTGCAGCGTGTGGCGATAGGAATAAGCAGCCTGGTCAGTGGTTGTCTGGCACCCGTCGAGTAACTCCGGCCGACTTAGGCCTGCACGGACGTCGCAGGTGACGCAGATTGGTAGCGAAGAAAAAACGGTCGATGTTTGGGATCAGAATTTTTCAGGACAGTTCATGAACGACTGAGCTATCGACAGTGGCACAGCAAAGGGAGCAAGTTTTGTGGGAGGGACTGGAAATGTGACGTGGAAGAAGAATCGCAAAGCTTTAAGGATGATAGCCGTCGGCGAGTAGCGGGCGAGTGAGCATCAAGACAGTTTAGTGTACATGAGGGAGGTTAGCCGGTCTTGGACAAACAATGACGAACTGCAGGGCTTTTGTCACAAGACAATCATGCACGTCCGGAAGACAGGACGCTGCGAGCCACGGCATAGGACTGACCGCACGCCATACGACCGACGGCAGCTTCAGCACTGTCTCTATAGCGTACGGCTTCCGACTGGAGGAGGGATTTTTGCTCGCTGGCTGCTGCTAGTCATTGCATTCGTCTTTGATGTTGCATCCCGCCGCTGCTCCTTGCTTGCTGGCAGTGCCTGTGAAGAGCCTGACTTGGCTCAGCGCTATCGCAAATACATGAGCCCGCGCAAATATGTCTGTCTTTGATCAGTCATCCCGGAGTGTTTGACATTGTAGAGATATCAAACAGCTTTTTCTGTCCGGATCCTCCTTCGACTCTCACAAAATAAATGAAACGTGAACGTGGAATGTGTTTCAATTCCTCGCCGTGTTGTCGTTCAAGCAAGACGCTTCCTGTCCTAACCTGCAGCTTTTTCCACAAGGCTGAACTACGCATGTTTCAGCACGCTATTGCGAAAGCGTCAGAACAGACAGAACGCATGCCCACGGCCGAAACAATTTCCTTCAACGCAAGGGCTTGACGGCTTTATCCTTCGTACATTGGGTCTTGTCGCAAGTGTATGAGCACAAATATTCTCAACATCGAGCATGGGTGAGAAGCGCAAGTTCGGCTCTGCCTTTCAGGTCGGGCCTGCAAATCTGCCCGATGGCATGCGCAAGCGCAAAGCGGACCGCATAAAGAAGGCCCTAATCGACCGCGCAAAGATCAAACAAGATTTTGCCAAAGTCAAGCGGCGGAAGTTGCAAGAGCAGCAGAAAAACGACACTGGACTGCCACAGCGTGATATCTATGCGGACGCGCAAGCAGAAGGCGAGAAAGCCGAAGCCAGCACAGCGGCTGCTGCCCTGCACCCGGATCGAGAGGCTCTCATAAATGGCTCAGTCGAAGAGCTAAGTACTCGGGAGCATGCCGAAGGAGAAAGTGGCGTCGAAAAGAACAAGGCAAGACGGAAGCGAAAACTGGACCCTTTCGCGAAAGAAGCTTCGCTCGCGCAAAAGCAAAAGGAGGCAGCACAAAGAAGACGGGCCGAGCGGGAGGAGGCAGAGCGACAAAGACAGCAGAAGATTAGGGAACGGGAAAGATTGCAAAGGATGATCAAGAAAGCAAAGAGACCAACAGCGGACGGGAAGCGAAAACTTGGAAGGGAGAGCGGCTACCTGCTGGAGAAGGTGAAGCAAATGATGGAGACTTAGTGCACACATAACAAGATGTTCTTGGGTACGAAGCAGCTGCGGATATACGTGCTCATGCAAAGATACAGGACGCCTGCACCGAGCCCTTGACCATCAGCCGGCCCGAGAATATACGAGTTGAAACGGATATGGGCGCGCACGCCAGACTTTCGGTCAACTGCTTGTGTCTCTGCAGTGCATGTCTGGATGTGTCTCGAATCAATTGCTGCAGACGCAAGCGGAGGATTGGCATTGCCCATCCCATAGCGATTCAAGTCGCTGCTGATGGAATATTTGGTCTGACTCAGGAGGCGATCAAAAGCATCATGTGGCCATACTCATGTTTGACGGGTTGAAAGTCCGCAGATGAGGCAAGCACAATCCGAAGAACGCCCCGCCTAACAGTCAAAACACGAACGGAAGGAGCCAATAACTAAAACAGAAGGAAGCACCCAGGGAGGCGCGTCCACAAAGACGACGGTTGGCAGAAGCGCGAACGTAAACTCTTACAAGAAACCATCATCTAAGGCTTAAACAGGGTGGTTTCGCACGCGCCGTTGATGGGAGCAGTCAGCTTGTAAATCTCCGTGTTTTTTTATTAAATTGCGCTGCTGGTTTAGAATAATAGCTATGCGCTACCTTTTGCAAATGGACTGTTCAAATTCCTTCTCCACCCAACTTACCTCCTTCCAATCCTCACCTCTACTCCATTCTTCTTCTCTATACTCTAGATTGCCAGGCAGACTATTGGTCCAATCTACAGGGCGACGGCGATTCGGTTTGTTTGGAATTTCTTGGTGCTTGGGATCAGCAGAGCTGCGACCATAGCCAAAACACCGAAGGAAATGCTGGTCCACCACACGTATCGCAAACTCTCGGCGTATGCGAGCTGCGCACCGTACGTGCCGGCTGCGATGATTTGAGGCGTGATGTTCGGCAACTTTGCAAGCAGGTCTGGAGCTTGCAGCAAGGCACCCACGAAATTCTCTGCCTCTGCGACTGGGAGCCCAGCTTTGATTGCAGCCCCGGCAACATACGTAGGCAGACGCGTCTTGAGTTTCTTCGAAAAGATGTTGAAGTAGATGCTATAGCCAATCGAGCCACCTACGGCGCGAACACTAAGAGAAAGAGCGGCGCAAGTAGTGATAAGCGCATCTGTCGCACTGGTTAGCTCACTCTAGCCTTAGGTTTCACGGTGAAGGGCTTTGCATACCCGGAGCGGCAATCATAGCTGTCAGCGCGGCGGGGACTATGATTCCTCCAAGTCCAAACGTAGAAAATGAGCCGAGCACAACCGTGGTGACCTCGTTATCCGGAGTAACGACGGAAAGCGCACCACCGAATGCGGTAATTATGGTAGCAAATGCAAATAAAATCAAATTCACCCGACTTGGAAACATAGATACCAAAACGCTGGCAAGGATGGCTCCAATCGTGGTTCCAAGGCCGGCTCCAATGCCCCGAAGGCCAACTTTGACAGGATCTGGATTGTACACGTGCGAAATGAGCAGAGGCCAGAAGTTGAGGTATGAAAAGAAGTTCATGCCAGCAACGAAGGCCACTACGTACGCAAGCGCAACGACACGCTGTTTCTGAAATAGACCACCTGGAACCTGAACATTTCGTCAATGACAAGTTACAGTGGATGGAAGAAAGAAAGCAAGGAAGCAAACTACGTACCATAGGATGCTTTGCAAACTTCCACTCATATATAATCCATGCAATCAAGGTAAATATACCGATAATTAGCGTGCAGAGAACATAGGCAGAAGTCCAAGAGTGACTGTAGCCGCCGGCTTGCAATGCCACAAGGAATATAGTAAGGCCGACTATTGATAAGATACCACCGATAAAGTCGATGCGCTTGATAATCTCCAGAGCAGATAAACCCTCAGCACGAACATGGGCGACAGGGAAATATGTGAACAGAAGGCCGAGTCCGGTCACCCCATTGTAGATAAGGGAGATCCACATGCCCTATGCTTGAGATTAGTTGATGCTGAATATTTAGGCTGCTGCCCTTCATGGCTTACCCATCGCCAGGTATGGTGAGTCGAAAGAAGTTCACTGTATAGTACATATGGAGTAAAGGGAAACACGAATGCTGTCAACACAGCGGTGATGTAACCACGATACTTAACAGGAACGGTTTCATTAAGACTGTACACAAAGTCAGAACTTCCTGTGTTTCCGTAGCAGCGGACTTTCATACCCAGCTAGACCAGTCAGCTCTCCGATGCCTGCACCGGCGCCGGCAAAGCCCATTCCAATAATGGCCTGTGCAAAGGAGTGCGCCGTGCCAACGAGAACGCATCCTAAGCAGATAAAAACAGCACCCAGGAGAGTGATGTAGCGTTTACCAACTAGATCGTCAAGATAGCCTACGAAGGGGCAAATAGCCGCAATAGCAAGCGTGTTTGCCGTTGGCAACCAACCGATGATGGAGGCGTTTGTACCACCAATTTCTTCAGCTATGAAGGTCAAGCAACCACCAACAAAGTATAATGGGATTTGCGAGCCTATGTAAAAACTGTGTCAATCGTATTTCATTTTGAACCTGATCCGGCAAGCTGTGACTGGAGGTCTTACCTGTATACAGCATTGCCAAGAAAGCCGAAGCAAATAGCTTTCAGTGTCAGATCAAAAGAACACTAAAGCGGAGTCATAATCGTCGCGTTACCTTGCGAACTGTCCATTCAACCTTGCCATCTGAATCATCTCCCTTGAAGGCCTGCTTGTTTTCAAGGTCGATAGATTCGCTGATTGTTTTCTCATGCCTCAAGTCGACCGGGCTTGTAGCGTCGCTGTGTGTACTTTGCTGCGCAAGGCCTGTCTCTTTTTCTGAGACTTCATTGTCTACTGTTCCGTTTGTGTCACCATTATCCATTCCATGGTTTGCTGCAACAGAAGCGTTCGCAGGCTCCGTTGCTGAGGGCGAATCTGCTGCAGGACCATTCATCGCTGCAGCTCCGTCGTGCTTCTCCTCGCTCATTTTGACGATAAGCTGAAGGGTGATATTTTTTTTAATGTATAAAACCCAAGATTCAGGGAATAGAGAGACAAGAGAAAGGACGAAGAGAAGATGATGGAGTTTGAACGAAAAAAAAAACTCTCAGCGGCGGATTGTCTGAGGAAGAGCAACGAATTCTAATGTCCACAGCAAACAGTAGCCAGGTCACCACGTTTCTAGAAAAACATGTGGTCAGCACAATGAGCGAGTCGTGCCAGCTCGTAGCCATGGTCAATTCTTGGTACACTCCATCTCGGTTAATACCTGCACGTCCCCGTTTCCCCCGCCATTGTGGAAGCGGAGACTGGGGGGAAACGAGGAGAGAGGCCCACCGCAGCACGACGTTCTCGAGTACGTCGAGTCGTCCCAAGGCCAATTCGGTAATGGACTGGCCAAGACGGCATGCCGACTACCAAACTTGATGATTAAAAGTTTCGGAAGTCTTGCTGACCTGTCAACAAGTGCGTGCGCACCGATGTGAAGGCAGGGCAAGGTGATGTTTGTGTTTCCAGATAGGGTTTATTTTGTAGATAGGATTGAATGGTAAGAGCATGATCTTTCTCAGGGTTGTGGCAAGGGCTCTCTCGAAGGCTCGTCGTTCCGCGGGAAGATCCTGGGCATAGCGCAAGATTTGCACCCTCTCGATGCCGCACGTCAAGCCTCGTTAAAAAAAAAAAAAACAAAACCTTCCAAATACTGTGGCATACGACGGCCGGACTTGGCTTTCTGCATCAAAGCCCTCGGCTAAGTGATAAATAAAGTTTCTCGCTCCTGTTCAATCGGCTTGTAAGGGCAGTCGCGCCGGTCTGGATAAGGATTGCTTGGGGTGCGTGTTCTCGCAGCGGCCAGCCTGGATTTCAAGCGCCCTGCTCCTTACAATGCAGGCAGGAAAAGACCTATACGTGGATTTGTTTCGTTGAGTCAGTGCTTGATTCCACAGGGCCAAGATCACTTGTTTGTTGCAGGGTCAAACGACGTTCGCTGGTCGCGTCGATGTTTCGCACACTGAGCGTCGGGCGCCTGAAAGCTTGGACTGAATATCATGTTTGGCCATGAAGGTCGAACATGATCTGCCTTTCAGTATTTCTTGGGTCAACGGGAACCAAAAGAAGATGGTAAAGAAAGCGAGCAAGTAGGGGCTTCTGCGATGCTTTAATGCTTCATAGGCCTTAGTCCCCCCCGCAGCTGAAAACCCCTCTTTTGAGCCTTTCGGCCGGCTAAAGAGGATGATAATATATGAAACAGACGCCTGGCAGGCCTATTCGTGGAAGAAAATCAAATTGGTTTACTATTTTCTGCTTTTGCTAAGTGAATATGAGAGAGACGGTTGAAATTGCTGCACGGGTTAGATATGGTGGAGTGGATTTCCAGACCACTCAGTGGGTCCAAGGTCAAGGGAGAAACATAGGGCTGACTAGGAGAGACTCGAACGCGCCAACGACAGAGCGCAAGTTGAAGACCAACATTTTGATGAGAGAGAATTGATGAGAAATTTGACCGCTTGCAAAACCGTGCCTATGAAATTCTGCGCCATCGGACATCCGAAGAACCGAGGACCACGGGGGGATGGAATCATCTCAATTGCCCGAGACACCAAGTGCTATGTACATGGACAAGAAAAAAACATGTGAAATGATGGAATCCTTTGCGCGCACCAGCCCTATCGACGTGTTTCAACCTCGCGGCAAACGTTAGCAGTATCCTTGTTCGACATATGCACGTTCTCGCAGGACGTCTACACGCACCTCGAAAAAAAAAGAATGTGAAGCGCCGTCCTCACCAGAGTAACCGGAATCGAATTGTGTCTTTTCGGGACTCACTCCTCGTGGGGATGAGCCGCCAATCCAACACGCCGCGTATTGCACTACAGTGTCGCCCTGCCGTGAGCAGAAGCGCACAATCTCCGCGCCGACTCCCATGGTTGCACTGCCGCATAGAAAGCAACTATGGGCAGGCCCCGAGCTTTCTGATGCCGGACGCAAGCGCTTTCGCGCCAGACCCTTGCGGGCAGATGCCAGAGCTCGCCCCCGTCGACAAGCGTAAGGGGAGAGGGTAGCGATGTGTAGTAGAGATTACTCCGAATTTCTCATTTGCATGCGATGTGACGGAGCTCGGACGAGACTCCGTCTGTTTGTAGCAAAGAAACGCGGCGATGGTGAGGACGACGCCCGGGAAAGAAGAAAGAAAGAAGGCGAGAGGGAGATGAAAAGGACAGAAATCTGTGCCTGATGCCAAGACTTCGCAAGGAAGTTTTAGTGGGTCCTTTGAGTCACCAACGCGCGACTGCGGAAGGAACGATGCTGGCGAGCTTTTCACAGCGATTGCCTACACTTGAATCAGAATGTCCAGCGCGATTGAGACGCTTTTGTGAACGACATTCAAGCCGGGTCAAGGGCGGCGGTCAAGGCCACGGAAACCTCTGCAGCCTTTGGGCTTGGTTTCGCAAATCGCCACGCGCACTCGGGCCGTTCGACCCGTCGGTTGCCTTCGACCGAGTCCACAGCTGCCTCTTGGACCAACTCAAGTGCAGTCCATAGGAGTGGTCGCTGGCGGTGGGCTGAACGTGAAAATCAGTGAGACGGAAGTTGACGAGTCATTCGAACAGCCAAAGCATCGGTAAATGCACGAGGAATTGCACAAAGGCGACGGATGCTTTATCTACATGACGTTTATTTAACAACACCCTTTCCATTCTAGTCGTTTCTTTGATGAGCGCAACGGCGGAGTGTCGCCGCCATTGTTCCGAATCAACATCTACGGTGTGTAAGATTTGAGGTCCAGTTTCCGTGTCGCTATATCACAAAGCACAACTAGAACATTTCAAGGGGAAATCCGCATCTGTGTCCTAGAACTTGTTAAGCTTGGCGAAGGGAATCCGGTCGCGCAGCTAACGCAAATCGTCATAAAAAGCAGCGGTGGGGAGGCGAAATGTGAGCGAAAGATGCAGTGCAAGTCCTTTGTAGCCATTCTTTCTTGGGTATCAAATGCTACTGAGGGTGCGAGACTGTGCATCTTCCATGTTTGCCATCCGTTCCATAGTAGGAATCAATCAAAATCACTGCTGAGGAACGTTGCTAGCATCGTTGTCTAGACCCACTCCTTCTCCCAAGCCCTTCTCGACGAGAGCACTACGTTCAGATACGACTTCAACTTCGCTAGCGACCGCATCGTGGAGGGTGTCTTCCATATGCTCTTCTGTGTATGGCGGTGGCGCTAGTTCCTGCCCACCATCTGTCCACACCTTATTGAGCTCATCCTCAATCTCTTTTCGCCTCCTCGTCCATTGTTCAACATTCGCAAGCCGTTCTCTGAGTTCTTTCAGTTCTTTTTCAACTGAAGACTTTTCGGCTTGTGTTCCAATGCGCTGGAACTCCCACTCCTCACCCGAGTCACCGAGACCTAGCGTAAGCGTGAAGTTATGGTATCGCTTCAGCGACGCACGAGTAGAAATAGTAATGAGAGCTGATGGCGACAGATCAGTATGTCGTCTAAAAGCCGCTTTGTGCTGATGACTTACTGATGCCCTTCGCTTTTGCTCGTTCATAAAGCAGTCCCTCTACATCGCTACTTACGGCACTCGTGCCTTCGTCAATAAATGCATATCGCGGCTCGTGATAGAACAGTCGAGCAATTGCCATGCGCTGCTTCTCGCCTCCTGACAAAACGTCCTTCCAGTCCTTTCGAGTGTCCCAGCCTCCTTCTCTGTCGGGCAAATAACCCAGTTTCGCTTCTTCTAAGATTCTTCCAAGTTCAATGTCCCGTCGTCCGGCAGTCTTCATGTCCAATTCCGTGTGAGGGTAGATGACCTGATCACGCAAGGTTCCCGTGCTAAGATAAGGTCGTTGCGGTAAAAACATTATACCATCTGTGCCAATCGTGCGAGGACGAGAGACAAGGCCGCGATAAACTGGCCAGAGGCCGGCCACGATGCGAGCAACGGCACTTTTACCAACGCCATTCGGGCCTGTGATAAGCAGATGTTCACCTGAGTGTACTATGACGGACAACGAATCTAAGAGCTCATCGCCGCCCTGTGGAAACAAGGCAGGTGCGACAATCGGAACATTTTCCAGTCGAACTCCGTCGAAACCCTTGTGCACCGTTCCTTGAACATCGCAAAGAGAATATAGCTCCGCTCCTTCGCTGGGATTAGGGGGAACATACGCATTCGCATGTACACGATGCAACGTGCTGATCAAAGTATAAACTCGCGAGGTGTAACCAGCGAGTTCAGACAGATCCTTGATGGAATACATCATGCGTCCACCGGCATCAGCCAGAGATAGCATGAGTCTTTTGTTTGTAATGAAATCCTTCATTCGCCCACGCTCTCTTTGGACCTTATCGACGTTGTCGCCCAACTCAGACTCTCCTCCGGCACCGCCCCACATTGGAAGGAAAACGGGCAACGAGGTGATCACATACCCAATAGCCGACCAGGAATACTTGAGCACGAAGTCTTCAAGCATGTTGTAGCGGATCTTTAGGCTGTAGATACCTTCCATCCAGTGTTTCAGCTCGCGGAATCCTTTGTCCAGGAACATTCGCTCCATGGAATCTCCCCCGTAAAAAGCCACTTCTTCAGCATTCGCTATGAGTCGGGCATGAAGAGCTCGAAAGTCGCCTTCTCTTCGACCCTCAACAGCCTTCAACTTACCGAACGGCGGCGAGAGCTTTCTCAGAAGTGTCGCAGTACCAAAGTAGTTGATCATTAAACCTGAGAAGGCAAGAGGGCCAAGGGAACGGTACAGCTGATAATTGAAGACGCAAAGGTCTACAAACGGCTTTCCGAGCGACGAGAATAGGTCAGCAGCAGCGGCACAAAAAAGCGTCAGATCCTGAGTGATGAACTGGTCTGGATTCGCTCCAACACCCCCGTCTAGATTGAGTAGTTTGTAGTAGTTGAGTTCGTCGCTGAGATACAGGTCGTGGATATAACGGGTCAATCTCGTCCGGAAGGCAATGGACACTTTTGACTTCAGAAACTTGATCATGGCATTCGTGTACGATGCCAGACCACCGATACCGCACCATTTGACGATGCCCCAAAGGAAAGCTCGACCGTTTCCAGCGACAAGGTCTCGCACAATCTCGCCGTCGAGTCGGGCAACGACCAGCGACAGGTAGGTGCGCAGCATGAGGAACAAGCTGTGGCTGAACAACAGGCCTGCCTCTTTGCTCGTCCACCTTGGGACCATGATATTGAACAGGCTGAGAAACTGGTGCAAAAAAGCCAGATTTAGGCCAGGTTTCGTTTGCGGTGGCGGCACCTGGCTCTGATACGCGTCGCCGAGTCCTGCAACTCTAGGTGGTTGAAGGAAGAGTCGTCTGTGGGCTTCGAATGTTGTCTGCTTAGTGCCATGTATAACAACCTTGCTTGTTCCGTCTTTGTACGGCACGTAAATGATGCGCGACCCGTCTTTGCCCTTCAAGCCGCTGTTCTTGCGCACAAGGCGCCGTCCCGTAGCTCTTTCGGCATTCCGCTTCTTCCACCATTTCCGCGTCCCGTAGCCCGCCGAGACGATCGAGAGCGTAAGAAGCAGCGTAGCAAGGAGCTTGGCCGTCCGCGATGCAGTGTTCACTCGTTTTCGTAGTGTTTCTCGGTATTGGAGGTACAACTGGGCTAGAGGATCGCTACTGTAGCGCAGCGTCGACTGTGCTGCCATTCTGACGAAAGCGTGTTAACGACAGGTTAATGACGATTTCATGCTGCAATTTCTATACTTGGCAATACCAGAGCTGATAGCAGAGAGCTAGAAGGATGATGCGTCTCCAGAAGGCCATCGAGGTTGGTCGGCAAATGTATGCTGGTCACAGAGGCCGACGTAGCCATGATTCGTCTATCCGCCGAGCCCGCGTTTTGACATGTGAGGCATGTGAACGTCACGAGATCTGGACGGAACTTCTTCTACTTTGCACTTGTTGCAATGACGAAAGATAGAAATTGCTTTTCGCCCAGTGAATCTTGGCTTGAGGCGATGCTACGTTTTCTCGTCGTAAATAGGCAGTATAGGTTACCTGCACGCGACCTAAGCAATCGCATGAGTTAGCGGAGATGCATTGTCCTCATCATATCACATCATTGATAACTGTTCACAGTTATGCCACACTAAAATTAGCCAACTTATTTATGTTGGCTTATCAAATTAATTGTCATTTTCACGTTGGCCAAATCTCCAATGGTGAACCACCCAAAAATTTCGCAACGTACTGCATAAAACCTCCTGTCCATAGAGGTGGCACCAGCAGTTACTATTGTTGACCTCGATGGCGCCCTGTTACGAAGCTTTCATCGATTCAGCCGCTCTTGGTTGGTACCAAGCAAGGTGCTTAGGACAACTCGATGATGATGGACACGAGGAATTGTCTTGTGCGACCGTTCCACGATACTATCCAATTCCTCGCATCCCCCCAAAAATAGCCACCCCAGTGGAGCAGATACAGGGACTCGATCAATGGATTGTAGCAGTCGATGCTGGCTTCGACTGTCGCCAGAACATCCCTGGTGGCTCGCAACTCTTCTTCACCGCCGGTACGCTTGGACCCGGTTTGAGATGCGTCACCATTTTGAGCGACGTATGTCCATAGCGCCGGGATTTGTGCGTCTACGCGTGTCAAATACGGTCTGATTGTTGAACCTAGCGATTTCGACCTTTTTTTAGTGCTGTATCTGCTTACACTGCCATATCTCATCCGCTTGGAAGACAGCTCCTGCAAACAACGTTTGTATTGAAAGATCGAAGATGATATTCATCATTGAACCATCATCCCGGGCCTCACGCATGAAGCGCTGGTCGGCTCAAGCAATGAAAACACAGATTTTCATGTTAAAGGCGTTCCATATTTGAGAGCTGTTGTGTGTTTTTCTTTGTTCTTGCGGCCTTCTGATACTACTCCGACCCATCTCATCCTCCCCCTAGCCTTCGATACAATGAATCTAGAGACCCTGAAATAAAGGCCAATTTCAACACATGATCTCAGTGATCTGAGCTGGTGGGCGAGTATACTTCCGTGCGCCCAACTGTTTAAGCCCCTTCGCTACTCCAAATTCTATTGCATCTATTCTCATCCCAGTAAACTGGGTCGACCATCGTGTAACAATAAGCACTCAAAACGACTTTGTGAATACGGCTGACTTGCTATAGGTTTCATCCTTCACTTTTTTGATACTGAATCCTACGAGCAATGTGGTCATATAGATAGCTTGCCATCCCAGACAACATCAAAATTTAAATCCGTTCCCATCGCCGAAAGGCTCTGCCAATGCTAATTTGGCAGCTCAAAACACCACTTTCTAAGAGAAATTTTTTCAAGTCTTTGGCATAAGAATTTGTCTTACATCGCAGAACTGATTTGAGAGGCGAAAGAAACGTGACGATGGATGAATTTGAATTTAGCTGTCTGTCTTTTACTTGCAATGTATGCTTTCATAATTATGAATCAAGGTCAGTCAGTATATTCGATGATCCTTCAAGCCTCACTCATAGATTGATAGAGAGCAGCTCGAGAAACACGGTTCTTTGGCACATCAAAATGGGAAAACTTGTGATGATCACTTCAACGGTCAAGATGAGAAGGTCACTCAACGTAGAGCAATAGCTTGTGTCGCCTGTGCGAGAGCGAAAACAAAGTGTGACAAAGCTGTAGGTGCTAAATTTATTGTCATCCGTGAGAGTGATTCTAATCTTAGCCAGATTCCAAGCTGTTCGCGATGCGTCAGCAAAGGGTTCGTCTGCGTGGCGCGATGTACAAAACGATCAACCGATGCTGCTTATCGCCTGGCTAAGAGACAGCTAAGTTTGTATAGAAGACCGATTCCGATTATGTCCGCTCAGGACAGGATTGCTTCCCCAACAACGTCAAATTGGCCTTGTTTGTCAGCAGCATCCAGTTCATGCACAGCAACGTCAAGACTTGGTACACTTTGGAACTTTTCCCCCCTTCAAACATTATCAAGCGAAGTCTCTGAGCCCACAGGACTGTTAGAAGCACACCATAGATTGTCCACACACGTATGTTGTCCCACTGATTTCCTGGGAGAGGCAGAACATGATGTCTCTGACATCAGTTTACAGATCCCGTCAGAAGCAGCACTGCATCCGACGGTGGGCCTTGTCGATGCGTCGCAAGCATCCAATTCATTGGCATCCTCAAAGGTCTCCACTTTCGAGATGCTACAATCAAGCTCCCTTGGTTTAGATGCGGCCTCTACGATGCTGTCCCCTACGTATAACCCGACGTCTACTTTTGTTGGGCTGAATCATGGTTTTGAAGCGGAAAGAGAGGAGTCACATGTCATTCGCGGTCCTCTAGTATCGCTTGAATGTACTAGAATGACGTTGTGACACGCTTCAGCTCGAACTGGGACTTTCCACGAATCACTATGATTGTTCGCCGTTCGCATGATATATGTTGTTTGATTCGCCTACGTGATTATCAGCAGCATCATTTAATCTGCTCGTATATTGACGCCAGTCAAACTGCTCGTTCTGGTGGCATAAACTTCGGATGGAATGAAAGATAAATGCCGCATGAGAAGCGAGTATCCATTCTTCTCCTTGTCTTCTTGCCAACGCTGATCAGTAACCCATAGTTACTAGTTCAACCGCTCTCAACAATGAATACAAGAAGAGCCCAAACTTCTGAGCTGCTGATTCTCGCACACATCACTGTAATGTTGTATCACAATTGGTATTTTCTAGTACATGTTATAGAAGCTAAGCCTAATGACCATCTCGTTGCACCCAAACATCGTCGATTTTGCCCTTGCAGCTGTAGCAATGGCGGCCACACGGTTTGGTGTAATTATTCTCACAAAATTCATGTGTATAGGAATGTGGCGCGAGACAAAACAATGCCGGTCGCAAGGATAAGCACGGTGCAGGTACAGATATAGGCTGGGATTCAAGCAAAGCTACAGCGCCGAGGCTTGAGCGCTCACGGGCTTCTTGGCTTGAGAATGCTTATAGTTGAGAATAAGTCAATCGAGCAATCTCATATTGGAAGATTCTTAGCGAACCCGAACTTTAGATCCAAGAAACAGTCTGAAGTCTTGCAGGGGGACTTGTTACGGTGCCCTTGAGCCGAGATCGCCCCAAAGGGCTCATGTCAGAGCTTACCGCAATTTGACATGCGGCCTGGGCGTGTGACAAAACTCAACCTCGTCATTGGCAGGCTTCTTTTGAAAAGCACCTCTCTTTACTTTTGGATAATTGTAATTCGCTTTCAGCTTTTGAGGACATTTCTTCAGTCCCATGATACGGAAGCTTTATAAATGAGCGTTATTTTCCCGGAATCTTCGTGCTGATATGCTTTCCCCGGATGTTGCACGCCTCTGAACATTGTGATTAGCACGAAGACACTATCCGCTGCCAGGAAACAGGCCAGCGTCATCCTGGGTATATTGGCGCACTTGTATGCAGCATGCCGTCCGACCCTTCGAACAGCACATCGGAGTCCTCAAACTATACGACCGTTGCTGCTGTAGCTCCAGCTTCAGGTCCAGCTCCGCTTTCAGTACCTGCTCAGACTCCCTCCCCTCCTCGATCTCCTACCCAGAAACCCAGGAGTTCCAGAAACCCATCCGTCACGTCTATTGGCCGAAAAAGCCATGCGCCGCATCATCCGTCGGGATTGAGACAGTCCAGAGTCCCTGGCGAATCCTCAAGTCCCGAGATATCCAGGACGGGCGCCTTCTCGAGTCGAGACAGTGCTGGCAAGAGACCAACTTTTCAAGGCGACAACGGTATACAAACAACAGAATCAGAAAGAGCGGGCATCGAGGAGGACTATCCGGATCAACACGCTGAAGCACATTCATTCTGCTCCGGCCATTCTCACGAACCTAATGTCCACACACGCTTGCTGAGCGAGCACAACTGGGACAATGCTTCTGGGTGCGGAGATGAAAACTGTCGTCATGGGAGCTTCTCTATTCGGCCAACCAGCCCCCGCCAGGGTAGCTTCAGGAGCTATTGCACATTCCATTCCGGCGTTTCAGAAGAAGGATTTGGCGGAGCATATCCGGATCCCTCAGCAGGCGGTCTCGGTGATGCGGTAGATGCCACACATGGTCTTCTTGGCGACGCTATAGCCGATGGTCTGATGGGAGGCGGGGATGGAAACAAGATGAGTATAACCAAATACTTGGCGAAGCGACACGGCGTGAAGGCTCGGCGCAGAATGTACGACATTTGGTCTGCCATAGGTCTTCTGCTACCTAACTACTGACATATTGTGCAGGTATATCTTTTACTACATTCCATTCCTTAACTGGATTCGCCAGTACAAGTGGGCATACCTAAAAGGCGACCTAGTTGCCGCAGTTACGATGGCGTCATTCTATATCCCCATGTCTCTGTCGTACGCCTCAAACCTCGGCCATATCCCGCCTGTCAATGGCCTGTACTCCTTTGTTTTCAATCCCTTCATATATGCTTTGCTAGGCACATGTCCACAAATGGTGGTTGGACCTGAAGCTGCCGGCTCTCTGCTCACAGGGCAGGTGGTACGGGAGAATATAAGTAAAAAACATTGGAATGATGACGACCAGACACGAAACGCACAAATCGCTGGCATGACTACGTTTATGGCCGGTGCAGTCATTTTGCTCGCCGGAATTTTCCGCCTAGGATTCCTTGATAATGTTCTGAGCCGGCCTTTTTTGCGAGGCTTCATCAGTGCAATCGGTATTGTGATCCTCGTAGATCAATTGATACCGGAGATGGGTCTGCAAAAGATTGCTGGTTCAAGTGTAGAACACGGAAGCTCGGTGGATAAGCTAATCTTCATCATCCGAAACGGGAAGTATGCACATGCCTTGACTTGTGCTGTAAGTTTCGGTGCGTTGGCTATCATTATGGTCTGTCGGTAAGACAATTTCTTCCCTCACGATCGGTGGTTGTCGCTAATGGACATCTTGCCAGAGAAGTGAAAAAACGTATGCAACCGCGATATCCTTCCGTGGCATATATTCCGGATCGTTTCATCATCGTCGTCCTGTCTGCGATATTAGCCTGGCAATTTGATTGGGAATCGAAAGGTTTAGACATTCTTGGCGATATTAAGGCAAGGGGGAAACCGTTCCCAGTGCATTTTCCTCTGGACATTGATCATCTGAAAAATGCTTCCGACGCATTCTCAACCTCATTTGTTATTGCACTGCTTGGATTTTTTGAAAGCAGCGTTGCAGCGAAGTCATTGGGAATTGGAGAAAACAAAAAGACTGGAGCTGGAGGAATAAAAAACATGCATCTCAGTGCCAACCGCGAGCTTGTAGCTCTCGGTGTAGCCAATGTCGTTGGCGGACTGTTCATGGCTCTTCCGGCATTTGGTGGATATGGAAGGAGTAAGGTCAATGCTAGTACGGGAGGCAGGACACCGATGAGCAGCATCTTTCTAAGTTTGATCACGGTGGCTGCTGTTCTAGTGATGCTACCGTGGTTTTATTACCTGCCTGTGAGTTTTTTTAAGGCTTCCACGTAATTTCTTCGAAGTATTTCTAACTTTTTTAACAGAAGGGAGTGCTCTCCGCAATGATATCTGTGGTAGCGTATTCTCTTCTCGAGGAAGCACCTCCAGACATACTATTTTTTATTCGGCTTCGCGATGTCTCTTCGCTTTTGCTGATGTCTCTCATCTTCGTCTGCACAATATTCTGGAACCTGAAGATCGGCATTGCCGTCGGCATTGGGCTCTCCATCTTGCGCGTGTTGAAGCATTCCACCCGACCGCGAATTCAGATTTTGGGACGTGTTCCAGGTACCACGGACAGGTTTGAGAATGCAGAACGGGCAGGGGTCAACGTTGAATTCGTGGAAGGGGTGCTGATTGTAAAGATACCAGAGCCCTTGACATTTGCAAACACAGGTGATTTGAAGGCACGTCTGCGCCGATTAGAAGAACATGGAACTGGCAAAGCGCATCCGGCATTACCACCTATTAGGAGGTCAGATCACAACAGAAACGTTGTATTTGATATTCACGGTGTCACTTCACTTGATGGCGCCGGGGCTCAGATCCTCATGGAAATTGTTCGCGGCTACCGGGATCGGGGTGTCCGCGTGTTCTTCTGCAGAGTGCCTGGCGAGAGCACTCACGTTTGGTCGCTTTTTGAACGAAGTGGCATCGTTGCCCTATGCGGGGGTAAAACCCACTTTGTCAACAGTGTGGCTGAAGCACTGAGATTAACAGAGATAGAAGAATTGCGATATGGCGAAGAAGAAAGCAGGCTGCGGTTCAATTCATCTTAGTGATCGCAGAGCTGCTTTCAAATGTAAGATATTGTCGAATACTGATCGCGCATCCTGATAAGAGTTCAAAGGAAATACTTGCAGCACCTTCACTTTGATGACGAGGTGCGGTTCTGGTCAATCGGAACGTTTATGTTAATCAGTTCTATCTTTGTAAACACTACCTGACCAGATATTTCAATTGGCACATGATCGCAACAAGATTCAACCAACTCGGATCATTTGTGAATACAAGGGTCGAAATTGAATCAACGATAAGGTTATCTAAGGTTCAAGCGAGCGGTCTCGCGCTGTAGAATTTACATGCTTCCTGGTAACCAAACCAATGAGTGAGAATGTCTTGCACTGCTTTGGACCTTCATTATACTATGGGTGCTTGTCCTGCATTGAACCCATCTTGTGCAAGACGAGCTAAGATAAGACAAAAATCTTCCAGGGAGGGCTAAGTTCAAACGTAAGGACTAGGGTCTTCTCTTTTTTTTGGGGGGGAAGGGGGTGGGGGTCGTAACCTGATCTAACGCCAACGCAAAGAAGTCTCTTTTGCTCTATTTCATTGACCGCTTGAAGCTTCTAGTCGTTCGACCAACTTGGATAAAAGTTTGGAATACAAACGCTGAATTTTACGTACAAAAAATATTCCCATACGTGTGGCGTAAAATCGTGATATTCAAACGACACGCCGTGGTCAGCTGGCACCGTTGAGCTAACCTAACCCCGACATTTTGTCGATATTTTTTTCACTGTGTCACTGATTTCCTGAGACCAAAACTGCACCGCTGCAATGCAACCGGTTACGCCGGCTGATCTCTCGCGGAGATAATGTTCTCGAACGCGCAGTGATTGGCCATTTGCCATCTTACAGTGCCGCGGTATCGGGCTGGTGGAGAACACTAGAAGAAGCTAAGGAAAGATAAGCATCTAGAAGAACCGCGTTCCTCCAATTGAGAACGTAATCTGTCATTTAGCCACCTGCCTATCTTGTAGTGTTCGAGCCGAGGCCACTAGCATTTAAAATAAAGAGGAAAATTTATAACCTACAAGGCGATGTTTGTCTTGGTGGGTTTGCCCCATCCGAATACAATCAACTCCTACCCGGAATAACCAGCTGGATCTGCGAAACATGGGTTGGGACTTGGAAAAACAAGATGGGCGGTCGGATGTCGTCCCCGCGGCAGACGAGAAGAAAATTACAATTGACGTTGATGTGTCCAACGGCAATTACAATGCCTCCAGCAAAGAGAATGGCGACATATTCGCAAGTCTCCGAAACTTTGAAGCGGCCATGGACAAGAAGCTGGGGGTCGAATCTGAAGCTATCGACAGGAAACTTCCTAACGATCGGCCTCCAGTGTCGTGGCACAGCCAACTCAACATGTCGTTGATATGGGCATCCGGCACCATGAACATCAGTTGCTTCGCTACCGGCTTTCTAGGCTGGGAGTTCGGATTGGATCTCAAGCAAAGCATCCTCATCACAATCTTTGCCTCAATACTTGGGGCTGCGGTTTCTGGCTTCTGCGCGACAATGGGTCCACCGACTGGCTTACGGCAGATTTCCATCGGCCGCTACAGCATGGGCTGGTATCCAAACAAGCTCATTGCCGCACTCAACACCATTCAACAGCTCGGATGGAGCGCCGTTGGCTGCATCACTGGAGGCCTTGCTCTAACTGCAGTCTCCAACGGCGGTGTTTCAATAGTCGTTGGCATCATCATCATTGCCGTTTGCAGCCTCGTGATCAGCTTTGTGGGGCTTCGTGCTATCTTGATCTACGAGAAGTACGCATGGCTGGTGTACTTCATCATCTTCATGATCATCTTTGGGATGACTGGAAAGTACGCAGATAACACCACCCCCTCGTCACTAACTGGTTTGGATTTCAGCGGTACAGTTCTCAGCCTCTTGGCCATTGTTTACGGATCTTCCGCAAGCTGGGCCACAATTGCATCGGATTATTACGTCCATTACGCAGTCGACGTTTCGCGCATCAGAGTGTTCCTCATGACGACTTTTGGAATTGCCATTCCGACTAGCATCGGCATGGTCGCAGGATGCGTCGTAAGTTCCGCACTCAATAATCGCCCAGATTGGGATGACGCATACAAAAATGGCCTGGGATACCTAATAAAGGCGATGCTTCACCCAAGTGGATTTGCGAAGTTTATTCTAGTCTTGCTTGTCTTAAGCGGGATCAACATGAATATTATGAACACATACTCCGCCGCTATCTCATGCCAGCAATTTTCACGACCATTCGCCAAAATTCCGCGCTTCATATGGACGATTCTCTGCTTCGGCGTCATCATAGCCCTTGCCCTTGCCGGTCGCAATCACTTGTTAACATATCTTCAGAACTTTCTTTCTCTGCTGGGATATTGGTGTACATCATATTTTGTGATTGTATTCACTGAGCACTACTTCTTCCGTAAGGGTAATTTTAACAACTATGACTTGGATGGCTGGAACGATCCAAGCCGACTTCCAATTGGACTCGGTGCTGGAGTGGCTTTTGGGCTTGGCATTGTTGCATGGGTGATGGGGATGGTTGAAACATGTAAGTGGAAGCTAGGTACGAGAATATTTGATGAGAATCGTGCTGAATTTAGCAGGGTATGTGGGTCCACTCGGAAAGCTGATTGGGGCTTATGGAGGAGACGTCGCCAACGAATTTTGCTTCGTGGTCACTTTGGTCACATTTATACCAGCACGTTATCTTGAAATCAAGTATATTGGTAGGTAACGGTCTAGAAATCGCAATAACGCTTGTTTGTAAGAATGTACAATATGGAGCAGTAGCATGAAGGTCGAACACGGCATACTTGATACTTTGCCTGTCTTGAGCGCCTTTTTTATATCTTGACCTTGTCCGTAGTATGCCGTCTCCGCCCTTCAGAGATCTTGCGCACAACTTCAGCAGATCACAGATCTAGCAAGAAGAAGTGATGTCTGATGTCTTGTAGATGCAAGCGGCGCTCGGTCCAGACGAGCCCTTGGTTGGTTCATTTCCGGGAGTGGTTCCCTTGTACTCCTGGCAGATTGTTTTCACGTTCTTGGCACAGGTAGCGGTGATGGTTGCCGTGTCTCCAAAATTGGAGTTGATTCCAGCGAGGACAGAGCCGCTCGAGGCAACCACGTTTTTGATAACGACATGCCGCTCCGCAGACTTCTTGCAGTTACCGCACGAGCGATATAGCTTGCCAAAGTTTTGAACATTGAAGCCATCAATGGTAACAGTGCCGGCTCCGTTGTGTTGAATAACTTTATCCTCAGCTCCAGTGGCACCACCTCCAATGATCTTAGCGTCTCCATCGCCTTTGAGTGAAAGTGCATCTGTGTTGGAGTTAGATCACCAGCTTCTGCTAAAACCCACTTTACTTGCCTTCGCAAACAGCCGCCCACCACACATTCTCAATAGTGCAGGAACCTTTGCAGTGAACACCTTCGATCTGATCGGCGCCGATGATGGCGTTTTTCAATGTAGCACCGTCTTCGAGAAGGAAGACTGCATCAGAATCGCCACCTTCAGCTTGGCCAGTGCAGGACACACCACGGCCGTATGTCTTGAGACCGCCATCAAAAACGCCTGAAACGGACTTTGGTGAGCTATAGGTAACGGAGCCCTTGCTGGCTGGGATAGGGAAAGCCCTTTTCACCACAGTTGCAGTTGCCGGTGACAAAAGAGCAACAAGCGTGCTAATTTGGGCGAACTTCATGATGATGATTGAAAACGAGTGGTTTTTCAGAGAGGGACGAGATACAAATTAACGAGAGAATGAATGAACAGAGGTGGTCTGGTAATGAGCAGTTTGAGCTTGTCGTTCTATCGGTATGCAGCGGATGCCCTTCTCGCTCTTATATACGCTGGCTATCGTCGAGCTTCGAACTCGAGAATGAATTCGAGTGGAGCCGAAATCTTGATGTTTGCAACCAAGGCTGAATAATAGCTTCTATAGGTAATATCAGCGGCACTATGTTTTGACCCAGGATAGATGAAACATGACCATAAGATCGATGGGGAGGCTAGGAGAGCTCCCAGCTCCATTCCTTCTCGGTTCGCTCTGGGGCAGAGCGGTTGTGCAAAAGGCCGTCTAGAAAATCCTCCTGCCATAGAATTTTCCCTTTGTGTATGGCAATACTGAATTCACGTTGTTATTCTACGTAATTCATACGTAGGACTAGGACTTTTCAGTTACACTGGCGTATGCGACGGCTTCGTAACCGAATGATGTTGCTTGTGACGGAGTAGTTCATTGCTTTTTCCGTCCTGTGGTTTGCCAAGTCCGCCGTCGCCAAGAACCAATTTCATGGCGGAAATATTGTGAGCTTGGCAGGATCACGACAAGAGAACTTTCTTACGATGTTCATACGCGCCCTCCACCGTTTTGGGCAATTTTGGTATAACGAGGGTGCTTCCTGTTCCACAACACAAAAGGAACGACATGGCGGATGCCGGCTTGTATGATGATATGATAAGGGTCGTACGATAACTCGGAGTGGGGCAAACAATTAACGACATATAGCTCATACTGTATATTGTAGGAACTAGACGTCGCGAATTCGGCCAAAAGGTCGCTGACAGCGTATGGAATCCTAAACGAAAGCTCATGCGATATCTGCCTACGGCATGCTATTTTCCTTTTGGCTCAGCAACAGCTGATGTTCGCGATTACCATTGACAGCTGATTACTTTGTTCTTCTGTCTTCCAAAGTCCTCACTTGGTCCAATCTGATTTTCACACAAATGTGTCAAGGCCGTTAAGTGAAAAACATGGAATCGTATTAGCGGATCCTGTTTACTGAGAGCGGTGTTTTGTCAAACTAAAAAATTCAGCTGGCGCAATTTCCCAAGTCAACAAGCCGCTTGTAAGTCTACTGAAAGACCACGAGGAGAAAATAAAACCGCTCAAAGTGGATCAAAGGGGATAATTAAGACTCGTAAGTTGCTATCACAGAGCAACGCTTTAGATATTGTATTCCAAAAGAGACTGACGGTTTGTGTTTGCTGAGTACTTTCAAGTTAATGGTTGAGTTCTAACCCGCATGCCAATCCGAAATGAGCGAGATAATATCTTGATGACAATAAAAGCCACATTTTATCTGGCTTATTGTTATCTATCACGCTGCTCCTCAGTTACAATGACCAGATTTGTAGATTTGAACTTTCTTGGAGGTACACCTTGTTTCCAGAGTTGATCGATCTCAACGTAAGTGCGATCTTTCGTCTCCGGCACCATAAAATAAATAAAAATCGTGGCAAAGACCAGCACGCTACCAAAGATAAACGCAATCTTGCCGCCGAGATTTCCTTGGTCTGGGTTGATAGCATAGGGAAGGGAAAATGACCAAATGCAGGATGATAATCCGTTCATCATCGTTGACAGAGATTGCGTGGGCATTCGGAGGCGGGACGTCGGAGTCTCGGAACTAATGGTCCAAGCGACACTGCCAACAGTTCCTTGATAAACTACCTCCAAGTTAGCATGGTGATGCAAAGTTTGTGAAAAAGAACATATTTACCAAATCCCCAGACAGCCATAAATGCCACTTGCCCCCAAATTGCGCCATTGGTTTTGATACATGCAAGAATTCCAATGAGGTAGAGGGTGATACATAGAATGATAGTTCCCCAAAGAGCAGTGTTGCGTCGTCCAAAGTACTCCACCCAGAACCAGCCAGCCATGTTGCCAATGACCATGAGCCCAGTTATGCCAACGCTGGTGTCAAAGCTACGCTCTGCACTCATACCACCTAGCTGCATGAAATCTGACAATTGGTCAGCTCGAAGATATCAGCGACAACGAAAAAGAAACATACAGCTCATGTATCCAATGACCCAAGAATTGCCACATGCATTCTGAACAAAGAACATGGATGTTGCAACAAGAGTGCGTTTGATGTTCCTGCGGTTGAAGCACTCGATCATCGAGCCCTGACCTTCGTTGTCTTTGTTTATTCGTGCCAAAGCGTCATGGATCTCAGCCATCTTCCCATCCACATCGTAACCAGGCTTATGCAGCTTCTCAATGTTGCGGCGCGCTTTTTCATGCCTTCCGTGTTGAACTAGCCAGTACGGGGATCTGTGAGAAATAAGTATGACGTGGAAATTTGTCCAAGAGCACGGAAATTACTCAGGATAGAACGGGAGTAGAAGCAGACCAACAGCCGCAAATCCCCATTGAGTTGCGAAGAGAACTTTGTACTGGCGTTCGTCAGGATAGAAGCTTGCCTGTCTCATGACTCCATAGCCAATAAGCTGTCCAAGCACGGTGGCGAAGTTCATACCCGCTGTTATGGCGCCTCGGATGACAAGGGGTGCCATTTCTGAAGCGTACGAAGGAGCAACCGAGGTGAAAATACCAAGAGGAACTCCGGTCAAAATCTTGCCTCCGAAGAACTGTGCGTCATTGCTAGCATAATATTGCAAACATACGCCAGCAATGCTTATACAGTACGCAATCCCAAGAGTGATTTGGCGGCCAAGGTAGGCTACTCCGACAGAGGAACATAGTCCGCCAAACACAAGACCGAAAAGCGTGGCTGCTAGGAAACCAAGCTGCCAATTTGCATCGACGACGTATCCGCCATCGAATGGCTTGCCAAAGTGGACTCTGAATTGCTCGATTGAGACGACGACGCCTCCGGCCAGGGCATCAAATCCGAACAGAATACAGACAAAGAACATGTAGATGCACCACATGATACACTTCCATTCTTGTTTGAAAGCCTCCAGCCGGGTTAGCGAATGCTGATACTTCTCAAAGTTCTTGAGCTGCTCGGACCCCACAATGACTGCATGGGAACTCTGGCTCGGCTTTTCTGCAGTCACATCAATCTGTGTTGTCTCATGGTCCTTTGTATCGCACATTATGGCAAGGCTGTATGTAACGAATATTAAAAGAGGGGATTGAAAAACATAAAGGATAAAGTTCAATTGAATCCAGGTTAGCAAGTCGTCCGACCGAACAATATGTTTCACTGTGACGAAGGATCGGCCGAAGCTGTGCTTTAATAGTTCTCAATGCGCATCCATGGTTCCCCAGACTCCGCCTCATCGCCTATCCACAACCGACCTCACGTCGCCCGACATTAGTGCGGAGAGGAGAAGAAAAGTTTGGGTCGAGAGATTCTCCGAGTAGATTCTCCGCTTGGCCCGTGCTTTGGCACCGCATGTTGAGCCAATCAGATGCTTGCATGATGCTCGTCTGCATCAACTGGCGAGACCACGACTCTGTATACTCTTACCACCAGCATGTAATCGTTCCTACATCTTCCAAGCTCTCCACAAAACTGGCAATAGTCCCGAGCTCTAGCTTGAATCTCATTTCGGATATGCGGCAGAAGTGCTGTCATTGCATGATAGTCGCATGACCGTTAAGATGCACACGACGCAGAATCATCGGAGGATCTTTTTGGACCCTGGCTCCACAGCGTACTGGATCTGTTTTTTATTTTAGGAGCTCTCTATGTCGGTTCAGATTCCATTATTTCTATGTCCTTATTGCGTGGAGGTCATTGGATGAGTTCTTCCATCTGATTTTTTTAGTGCTGTTTACTCTAACGCACTTCTCAGCAACTGAGGGTGACAATTGGAATCTGTCTATATAGTCTGTCCATCACAACTGTACAATATCATCGGCTCAGTCATGACTGTTGACAGTCTGAGGCGAGCCCTCAACTCTTCTGACGAAGATATTGTCAAGCTTTGTGGACTGCTCACTATCGACGAGAAGCTCTCGCTACTAGCGGCAAAAAACATATGGGAGACACAAGAAATTTCACGCTTGGGTATCCCGTCGCTCAAAGTATTTGGGACTTGGAGACTTGCTATGAGCACTATTCTTACAAACGCATAGGTGACCGACGGTCCAAACGGAGCACGAGGCGGGGAGTTTTGGGATGGCACCACTGCAGCCTGTTTTCCAGCTTGTGTCTCCATTGCGGCGTCGTTCGACACGGAGCTGAGCGAACTGATCGGCCAGGCTCTTGGGCAGGAAGCACAGACAAAGGGAGCCTATGTTCTGCTTGGGCCGACAGTCTGTTGCCATCGATCTCCGCTGGGCGGACGCAACTTTGAAGCATTCTCCGAGGACCCATTCTTATCCGGCTCACTTGCAGTGGCATATGTCAAGGGATTACAATCGCAGAGAGTTGCTGCGACAGTCAAGCATTTTCTGGGAAACGAACAAGATACTCGACGTTTTGTATTGAATGAGATCATTTCCCAGAGAGCGTTGCGAGAAATTTATCTGCGACCCTTCGAAAAAGTTGTTAAGGAGTCTTCGCCCTGGGCATTTATGACGAGCTACCCAAAGATCAACGGATATCACGTTGATGCCACCCCTACGTTCATTCGGGATATTCTTAGAGGACAGTGGCACTATGATGGTCTCACAATGTCCGATTGGGGAGCTACATCATGCATAACCAGTATCAAGAACGGGTCTGTCGTTGCAGTCAGTATATTAAAATCATCATGCTGATTTAAATTTTAGGCTCGACCTCGAGATGCCTGGACCCCCAAGGATACGAACTCCAATGGCAATCAAAACAGCACTGGCAAGTAAATCAATCAGTGCATCCGACGTTGATTCTTGTGTCATGAACATTCTAAAATTGTTAAAACGGGTCGGAAAATTCTCGGATCGTAAGACTACTCAAGCAGAGGTGGCCTTGGATAGGCCAGAACATCGGGCGTTAATTCGAAAGGCCGGCGCCGACGGCTCCGTCTTATTAAAAAATAGGGACGGAATTCTGCCACTTAGCCAATCGTCAATAAAGAAGATTGCGTTACTTGGCCCACTTGCCGACTATGCGGCTGCTCATGGCGGTGGAAGTGCTTCGCTGAATTGCCACTACAAGGTCACCCCTCTCGAGGCTTTTAGGAAAAGACTTGGCAATGAGGTTGAGATTACTCATGGAAAAGGTTTGTTATTCCGATTCTTTAGTTTTAACTCTATCCTTACGCATGTTTTAGGGGCCCATATCTTTCGTGTACTACCGGATTTGGAGGAAGGAACAACTAATAGCAATGGGAAGCCGGGGTTCTGTGCTGAATTCTTCATGACATCAGATCTCTCGGGAAGTCCATTTCGAGTTGAGGAGTATCCGCGTGGCAGTTTCTTCACCTTGATGAATACGGAAGTCAAAGGCTCACAGGGTGTTCGTTTTACGTCCACATACCAGCCTCCTATTTCTGGGCTGCACTATCTGAGCTTCTCCGGCCTAGGACCGTCAAAAATTTTCATCAACAACGAACTAATCCACGAACAACTAGAAGACACAAAGGACTCAATGGCATTCCTTCTTGGCGTTCAAGATGAATTCAACTTCCGGTACAACTTTGATTCATCCCGGGAATATCTCATCCGTATCGAAACGTCACGTCAACTGGAGGACAAGTCCGAATTGTACTTGCTGGACGGTCAGATTGCCGTTCATTTGGGCCTCGTTACACAGCAGGAACGAGATGCCGATCTGCAAGCCGAAGCAGTCAAGTTGGCCAGAGAAGCTGACTATGCGATAATATTCGTAGGAAACACTGTACAGTGGGAGACAGAAGGACAAGATCTTGCGTCGATGAAGCTCCCTGCAGAAGGTAGTCAAGACAACTTGATTGCAGCCGTGGCAGCAGTCAATGCAAAAACCATCGTCGTGAACACAACCGGCGTACCTATTGAAACACCTTGGATTGACAGTATCGCTGCCCTAATTCAAGCATGGTATGCGGGGCAAGAAACAGGCAACGCCATACTTGATTTGTTGCTTGGGGATGTCAATCCCTCGGGAAAACTTCCAGTATCCTGGCCAAAAATGTACGACCATTGCGCTTGCTACGGTAATTTTGGACTTGACGCGTACGATTCTCTAGAGGTGGAATATGTAGAAGACATCTTCGTGGGCTATCGACACTTCGACCGCATGTACGGAACAGAGAAGGAAGTCCGATTTCCGTTCGGTTTCGGATTGAGTTACTCCCAATTTGAAATCATTGATGCAGCGTGTCACGGCTCGATTTCTCCCGATACCGCGGTTAGCGTTTCATTTACAGTCAGAAATATTAGTTCGCGAGCTGGAGCAGAGACTGTGCAGGTGTATCTCGCACCGCCGAAAAGCAGTACAGCAGGGAGGCCACCAAAATGCCTTGTTGGTTTCAAAAAGGTTTATCTAGATCCCGGTCAGTCTCGAAGGGCTGAAATCAGTTTTATCAAAGATGATGCCGCCTACTGGAACGAGGATGTTCAGAAATGGCAGGTTGAATCGGGAGAGCACTATATTATCGTGGCCTCTAGTTCAGCCACAAAAGATGTTAAAGCAACGATACCGTTAACGGTGCAAGGCTTTATTTTTGATCCATAGAAACACAGGCTACTTAGCCATGGCAAAGTATTCGAAGAAGGTGAATTTTAAAACCCATTGTAACATATCAAGCATGGGCAACATTCAGTTCAATGAGGTGCATAACAATAGAATATCATTTTCGAGGAGATTTACCTACAACATGACAATAATAGCAGTACATCAATTCAAAATGACCTCAAGTTGATTGCCATTAGCCACTTACATAAGAAGATATCTGTTCACCGTCCTGTAACACTTCCTGTGCCTTCACCGCGCCTGGCGCCAAAGTCCAAATTGCTAAGGATCTCGACGAACTTAGTGATATACTCTCTGGTTGAATCCGCTTCATTTTCTATCAAATCTTCATCATCAAGTAGCGTTGATGCAATCTCGCGGACTTTTATTATCATACTTGCGCCGTTGGCCTCAAGAGTCCATGGTGTGCAGGATTCAAGAACTTGTAGCAGTTCTTGTGCAATGGATTCGCGAAAACGCCATATCTTTGTGCGTACACGACTAGCCTCGTCAGATACATCGGCTTGCAACGATTGATTCGCGGAGCTATTGGTACTAGCGAACGTCTCAAGAATAGTAGATTGCAGGTACAGACTCGTTATATGAATATTCGCGCGCATGATTTCAAATTGGTCTGGAATGTCGGAAAAAGTTTGTGAAACATTTTCTTTGTGACTAGGGAGTTTTAACTCATCGGGCAACGAATTCAGGATTTCTGATAGTCTCTGGAAGACCTGGAAAATGGCCGCAAGCCCTTTGCTAGGGCTGTGTGCGACCTGGCCCGAATCGGGTGACGACGGAAATAGCTGTCTATCGAATGGTCCCGATGCCATAGAGTATGCTTGATTTATGGAGCCTGGCACACCAAAGGAGAATAAGTCTGCACAGCAGCGGAACACTTTGATAAGTGCAACGAAGCCGACAATAGGGGGCAAAGCTGAGAGACGTAATCGTCGGCTTTGCTCGTCTGCAAGTTCGTCATGATCGGTCAGTTCATCGTCATGAAGCGCACGAGGAATGATGAAGTCCCAATCTGTCGATCGAGGCAGATAGCTTAGGCCAGTGTGGGGCACGATAGAGGAGATCCTGTCATGGCTGTTTTTCGTCAGCAAACTCAGATCTTAAAAAATGGATATCCATTTCATACATCTGAAATATGTAGCCACACCAAAAGGCCCTTTTCCGCAGCTCACTCTCAACAAGTGAAACCGCCTCGTATCCTGATCTCTCTCCTAAGTGCATGACTCGGGTGAGCAACATTGCCTCACACGCATAAGCCCATCCTTGGTTGGCGTCACCTGTATAATGGGACGCCATGGAAAGCATTAAAGAAGTTGTCAGATGTTCAAGGCTGGGCTTGTTCGTGTAGCATGGTTCCTCAATGATCCTGCTGATTTGAACAAGACGAACAGCATGCGACACCATGTTCGCAGTAGAAGTATATGCGCTAGATCGGGCATACTCGTTGAATTTGCGGGGCAAAGACGCTATCGTGACGGCTGCGATGGCTAGGCATTGTCGAAATACTGGCTGAGGCATGAAATGTTCATGTTCGGCAACTTGCGCTTGAAAGCTTGGTGGATGAACCAAGGGTACCACAGGATAGACGAGGGTTAGAAAGTCGTTGAAGATGGTCTCAAAAACCTCAGCTGAGCAGAACTGACTTAGTGTGAATCGTTGAGATGCCGCAAGGCTCGCGAAGATAGATGGCGACGCTGTACGAGTATGCTTCGCCGTTCCAACGTATCGACTCAGCGGTCCTCTCGGCTTCCGTGCGCTGATGAAAGTACAGGGGATATCGGCTCGTTCGCATCGAGAGCATCTTATAAATGTATCGGGAAAGAAGCATTGTACCTTGCGCTCTCTGCACATGTCACATGCTGCGCGTGAGATTCGTTTCCCCTTGCGCGAATTGGCTGGTGTCGCCATTATTCTCAAAGACCGCTCTAAAAAAGCACTCAAATTGTTGGAAAGTATCACATTTTTGGGAATTTCAGACTCATCGATTTTGGTCCTATCGTGACATAATGATGATCGTCCTTTACATCCAGTTAAAAGTCACTTGTGCTAGGGAGGCAGCCCGATTGCAGAAAATCTGCCTAATTCAAGGGTGATCATGTGACTTTGCGAATAATAACTCATTGGTCATGAGCGTTTACTACCTTTGTAGACTCTTGACTTTATACTTATTGATCCAGAAGATACGCTTAGGTCAAGCTCAATATTTACGGCTCTTTCATTCAAGGGATTGAGCTCACAACTTCGGTAAGGTAAAGCATGGGTAGGATGCACGTGACCTACATTGTATTTAGGCTAACGTAGCTTAATGGACCGCATCGATATCAAGTATATGAATAAGATCGCCGAGGATGAGCTTACGGATCAGCTCATTTTGTCATTCTTAGTTGAAGCGCTATGTGATGACACATGTAATGTATTTCTCAAAACGTGGCATAGCTCCCTTTACCATAAATATATTTCTTAGATAAATTATATCTACCTTAACAGAGAGGAATTTGTCGATATTTGACAGGAAGGATTTGCCTGCTTGAGTGAAAAATCTTAAATCACCTTCTAAGAGTATACTTAGAGAGTATTCTTTCAAATTATATCGGTTTCACGTTGTCGCAGAAGATCTCACAAGTATAGAAGTGCTGAATCTGATTTTGCAGGAGGGTTGGATGTTCGCACCAAGTTATTTCACTGCACATGCCAAAGCTGTTCCTGAGCGCGCAAAAGCGGAGAGGGATGTGAAGGCAGCATCGAATTTCGAGACTCCCAATAGGTTGGTAGTCCAACGAGCAATGCACTTAGTCCCAGACAGCGGGAATTTCCGAATTTACTCCCTTTCTGCATTTTGTGCTTCCGTTTCTATCCCAGATTGAGAGAGTGGCGCAATCCGGGACCATGGACGGGATGTCGCAGAATGACAACCTCGCCTTGGCGTGCGAAACTGCTACTTATTTTGTTGAAGTTCTTCCTGTTTGACGAACCTTGCCTTGCCGTGCGTAAACTGCTACTTATTTGTGTTGAATTTCTTCTTGTTAGTTGACCTTACAGACGCAAAGAATCTTACCTAGAGCAAAGTATAGAAATCGAACCATCTCAAGTCTTCTTTTTCGATAAAAATGAGGTTCATCGCTCTTCTCCATTTGAATTTTTGTGATGCACGGAAATGACTCAACCGTGCTCTCCTCTCCTTTGTGAGTCAGATGATGTTTGCCATATCGTTCAAGGGTAGCTGCGCTTCTGGAGAAACTGAAGAATGGCTAATCACAGGGTAGGAAAACCGGATCTTAATCTGCACCGAAAGTTCTCTCCACAGCTCGACGGTCGACCAAAGTTTGAATACAGGTAATTATTGCTCGAAATCTACTGCTATAGAAAGGCACTTGCCATAGCGGGACAAATTTTAAGGCTCCATTAGACTGTCCGTGCTGTAATTTACTATGATTAAGACACTTTAAAGAAACGAGGGTATGATAATATATACTTACAGAAACATATTCTATCACGTTTTTGAATCATTGCGGAGAATTAGGCTTTCGGATCCAAAATCAAAAATATAACTGTTAACAGATTCCTGTCCAAAAGTGCGAAACCAGCAAATGCGGTACTTTCCAGTCTCCTTATCGGTGTGGACATTGAAAAAGCCGCCCACGCCACGACACTGAGGGCTTTATGCATAACACTGAAAGAAATTCAAGACTCCAAATCTTGCAGGGTCATGACTGTGAAGTTGTCGAACGCATTTGCAAACTTCAAAACTAACTACCAGTGATCTACAGCGGGAGGTTCCTAGTGTACCGACCAATCCCTTGCAAAGTAACTAGCTTTTCCTGTTTGAAGCAAATGGTGTGGTGTACCCCGCAACGGCTGAGCCAGCCATCAAATTGAATGACTGCACTTGACAGGCTGCACTAAGGATGTGCCGTGCTTTAGTGTTTTTCGCGGAAATGGATGCAACATCCGCGAATTAAAAGTTTGCTCGGGAATGATCGTTGAGTCAAAGTTAGGCGATTCATCCCGACGCCGATTGGTCAGCTACCCATGGCAGAGAGGTCACAATTGCCTGAAGATTCAGGGTAGAATTGAAGATCAACTCCAGTCTCCCCTTCCTGCTGCATTCAGTGTGTGGCTCCAAGCCCCCCCCTACTAGCTTTTGAAAGTGTCGGAATGCGCTCTGTGCCTACAGCATTACGTGTTCCAGGGGCTTCAAGAATATTGGTTCAAATTCGAGTTTCAGATATCATTTAAGCGGAGACACCCGATTTAAAGAGGATTGAAGAATCTGCTCTGCCTATAAGTTGTCAATCTAGCCGTGTCATCAATGAGCCTCGCTCAGTCAATTCGTTAGATTATAATGACTTTTCACAATGTCCCTAACATTTTACACGCGTTTTGTGAAGAGAGAACCTGAAAATCTCCAACACTGGGTTGTGGAGGTGGTGGCCTCTATGACCACATTAGCTGTTGTTAGTGTCGGTTTGAGATTGCTAAGCCGATATCTTAAAAGATCTCACCTATGGTGGGATGATTGGATGGTTTTATTCTCCATGGTACTTTTCGTGGCCGCTCATTAAATCTTGAACTGTTAGGATCTAACATCCGAGCTACAGGGCTGGAATCTTGTCGTTGTCGGCTTCATCTTCGCAATGTATTCATCCGGTATGGGTATACACGCTGACCAAGTCCCGATGACCTCCATTGTGATGATGGCGAAGTGGCTACTTGTTGCAGAACTTCTGTACGCATGGAACTTATGCTGGACGAAAATCGCAGTCCTCTTGATGTACTACCGTATCTTCCGATTCCCATTCTTCAAGAGAATGGCTTATGTCATTGGATCTTTTGTTGTGATCTGGGGGATAACTATCACCTTTGTGTTCATATTTATTTGCACTCCAGTCCAAAAGATATGGTATCCTGAAATACCCGGCCATTGCGTTTACCAAGTTGGCACTTGGATTGCCAATGCAACATCCACAATTATTAGTGATGTAGCTATTCTGGTGCTTCCTATACGGGAAGTTTGGAAGCTACAGTTGAGGAAATTTGAGAAGATTGCTGTCAGTATAACGTTTAGCTTAGGCTTCTTGTAAGTTTGAATTCCCTAACACATGCGATAATCATGAGACATAGCTGTAAACTAATTTCTAGCCAACAGTGTTGTCTTCGCCTCAGCCTACCGGTTTTCTGTTCTATTTACCTATACTCCGTCAGATCCGACTTACACCCTCGCGCGAACTGTCGGCTGGACTTCGATCGAGATGTCTGCTGGGATTGTCTCCGCCTGCCTACCGGTATTACGTCCAGTGCTCCAAGCCCTTACCCACTCTATGGGTGTATATGGCTTGTTCTCACACAGTGACTCTCGAGATGTAACAGCAAAGTCTCGGTCTGAATCAACAAGGCAAATGTCCAGTCAAGCGAGGGGAGCTGCCGACCTAGAGCTTGACGAACAATCATTTGAGAGCAGAGATGCGCTTGGAGCCTGGAGAAATGGAAACGAAATTGATTGTGAGAGGTTAGTGGATTACGGAAACTTAAAATTAAGGCCTGAGCATGGTTTTGTTTACTGTGTTGGGAGCGCACATGAGAATAATCCGTCACAGAGAGATAAAAACAGGCCGATCTATAGCATTACTGTGGAAAAGGACTTTAAGCATTACACGTCTCAAAAATAGGCTGAATCGACCTAATAAAGTGGATTTATACTTTCAAGTCTTTTTTGCTATAAGGCAGATGTAAGGATAGCGATGAATGATTTGGTTTAATTAGGCATTTACCTATTCTAAGAGACTTCTTCGGGATGCGACGCGTTCCGCCGTTTTGGCCACGCCACCATGTGTTACCATGTTAGGAATACTTTCCCAGTACCGACTAACTTGACTTGACTTGACTTGACTTGACTTGAATTCCTACTCGGTTTTGGCCGCTCTTAGTCAGCAGCTATGCCCGGTTAGGCAGACTTCGCCAGACAGCTAATATGTGATAGACTAGTATTATATAATTCTATATACCCCACTTCACTTTGCTTAGTGTAAATAAAACTAGTGTTACGGCGTACCTGTCGGTACGGTCAGGGTAACATGGGTCATTGCCAAGCAGTGCCAAGTGGCAGTCTCAGTCTTGGTATGTGAGACTTTCTGCACCAGTCTCAGTCTTAGTAGATAAGACTATATATATAAGTCTTATTAGGAGTGGTTAAGACTTGGTTATAAGGGACTAAAAATAGGTCTATATAAGGAAGGTTATATTTAAGTCTATACTTACTGTAATTCAACTATCTAATTTACCTAATAATTAATTTAAATATTTTTGTTACGAAGTAACACGTGATTTGTCATGTGAGTGATCATTTTGATCATTTTTGAGAAAATGATCAAAATGAGCGCATTAACCAATGACTGACGACTAGGGTATCGATGATTGGTCAGAGCGATCATTCTGATCATTTTGCCAAGAATGATCAGAATGAGCAAGGCAATAAGGATATCAGGAAAACGGTCTATA